TATATATATATATATATATATATATATATATATATATATATGGTTTCTAGTTTCCGTGGGCCAAATCAAATTGTTGGGTCTACTAATTAGGCCAATGAGGGCCGTATAAAGGCCCATTATGCAGTATTTAGAGGGCCGGCCAGTCCAAGTCAAACGGCGATCCGTCTCCAAGCGCTCACCATGCGATCGTTCGAACTCCTCCGCCGACCCCCGCCCACCGCCTCCCCCTCGCGTACCGATCTCCCGTGGCTCCCTACCTTGTCCCGCCGGAACCCGCGCTCTCCGGGCGAAGCCGGCAAGCCCTCACATTTCCTGTCCAACGCCGCCGTCCTCCGCGCCGTCAAGGCCGCAGGTGCCATCCCTCGGCAGATCCTCTCCGTCTATTCGGCCGCTGCCGGACAGCCTGGCTTCCGCCACGACCTCCCCACTTACCAGGCCCTGACATACGCCCTCGCCCTCCGCCGCCGGTTTCGCGCCGTGGAGCTCCTACTCGCCCGCATGCCCCGCGACGGCCTCCGCCCCGGTCCCGCCCTGGTCCTCCCCCTCCTCCGCGCGTACTCCGCTGCTGGACGACCCCCTGACGCGCTCCTCCGCTCCTGCCCCTTGCCGCTGAGCGACCGGCTCTTCTCCGCCCTCATCCAAGATCTCCTCCGCTCTGATGACCTCGATATCGCCGGGTCTCTCCTCCTCTCCGGCGCTAATCTAGGGTTTCCACTTAAGTCCCGGCACTACTCCGGTCTCGTCAGAGCCCACTGCGACCGCGGCGCCGTCTGGTCGGCGATCGAGTTTCTGGATCTGCTGGCGACGAGAGGGTCCGTCCCCGATGTGTTCTTCTACGGATCGTTGATCCGCGACATCTGCCGCGCCGGCGGCAGCGACGCGGTGGATGCCGCTTTCGAGGTGGTGGACCAGATGAAGCGAAACGGGCGGGAGCCGGACGTGGTGATATGGAACACGCTCGTGCACGGTTGTGCGAAGGCCGGTCAGTGGGGCAGGGCAGAGGGGGTAGTGGCGGAGATGGAGCGCAAGGGCAGCGGGGCGGCGGCCACCGATGCCGGTACCTACAATGCCCTCATTTCGGCCATCCCTCACCGTCAGATGGTCCAAGATGGGATCTTGGCTTTCCGTCGCATGATGGAGAAGGGGGTCTCGCCCGACGTGGTCACATTCTCGATGCTCATCGGTGGATTGGGAAGGGCAGGGAGGGTGTGGGAATGCAACACTCTCTTGGGAAAGATGGTGAGGCTGGGAATTCCACCGGACATTGCCTGTTACAAGATTCTACTGGGTGTGTACAGAAGCAACGCCATGAGCGATGATGCCTCTGCAGGGCTACTGTGGATCAAAGTGAGTGAGGAAGCGATGGCGGCACTGAGGACAGGAAAGAGATGGAAGATAGAAAATAAGGTGATGGGATTGTAGCTTTAGTACAATTGATGGTGATCTGCATGGATCTCTAGTGGAAGATGCAGTGCCACATGCAGCGGAAAGGATGCTCGTTGATGCTTTGGAAAGGAGGAGGATGAACGATGGTGTGTAAGTGATGCAACACTCCATCGTTGAGCTCATGTTTTGTAATCTGTCATGTTTCCTGCCATACGAGGGGCACATTCTGCACGGTATACTCGAGCTGGTTTAAAGATCTCAAAAGAATGATGGAGATCATGTTGTACCCCAAGGAAGAAAGGAGAGTAGGATTGTGTCACGCTACTTGGCGTCCAATCCAAGCTAGATTGGGAGGAGGAAAGAATCTTGATGACCGACACGCATTATGAAGCAAAGTATTTATTATCTTACTACGATGTTGTCGAACTCTTCAAGTCAAAGTAAAGTTAAATGCAGAAATAGAAGCCTTTTTTTGGTTTTTTTTATTATTTATTTTTATGGCCAGGGATTTGATTGAATCGCTTTAATATTTGTGCGGTATGATGATGCTTCCATGAGCCGTTTCACTTTCTGCAGCCACTCCATGGTGGCGTGGGGGAGATCGCTTTGCTTTGCTCTGTTATATGTATGGATGCGATACAAGCATGGCATGGTACCAAAATGGCGGACGCTGTGGGCAAGGCATTCCTGGTTCTCATGGTCCTCCTCTCGTCCTTCCTCCTCCCCTCCTCCTGTGACCGCATTGAGACCACCAGCTTCTCCAAAGGAGTACACGCTAAGCTGAAGGAGAAGGTGAGCCACCTCCACTTCTACTTCCACGACGTCGTCAGTGGAAGTAACGTGACGGCGGTGGCTGTGGCCAGGCCACCGAATGCGCAGCCGCCGACCTCATTCGGGTTGGTCATGGTCATGGACGACCTGCTCACGGAGGGGCCGGAGCCCACGTCGAGGCCGGTCGGGCGGGCGCAGGGGCTGTACGCGGCCGCCGGGCTCCAGGAGATGGGCTTCCTCCAGGCCATGAACCTGGTGTTCGTGGGCGGCAAGTACGACGGCAGCGTGCTCACCGTCCTCGGCCGCAACGCGCCGTTGCACGCCGTGCGGGAGATGCCGGTGGTGGGCGGCAGCGGGCTGTTCCGCTTCGCCCGCGGTTACGCCGTCGCCCGCACCCACAGGCTCGACATGAGCACCGGGAACGCCATCGTCGAATACGACGTCTACGTCATGCATTACTGAGCAACCACGGCGTCATGTTTCGTTTGTGTCGGCGATCGTTGAGTCATCATTCTTCTGTCTGCTTCGGTTATCATTTCGACTGCTACAGCACATTCACCAAATAAAGTGGGCGTCAGTCATTATAATTTCTTACATTACTACAAGTCATCTAAGAAATTATTGATATATCTGAAACATAAATAGACTGTTCAATCATCCGAAGGGAAACCAAAATGGCACCAATTCAATCATCTTAAGTATCAAGAGTTATTTGGCCAGAAAAGCAGAAATTTGGGCACCCTCCCATTCCATAAAGACAATCTGATCCTTGGCTTGGTGTAGTAGATAGGAATTTACAATAACGCAATTGCCCTACAAATTCTCAAAAAAGTATATCAAAATTGCACTTGCATCGCGCAGCTAAGTATACATCACTACTTGTGCCTTGCATAACTATTAACATGTCTTCAAAAATTTGGTCACGTTTCCTCCAAACTCTTTGCACCTCCCACCCACCCTAACTAGACTTTTAACCAGACATCAAAATCGACCTTGCACCCAAAAGACATTTTCCAGCAGCAGAATTGAAGTTAGCAGCCCGCAAAGTGGATGTGATGTACAGAATGGATGACCTTGTAGACTGGAAGCAAATCGCCAGGAGGAACCGGAAAGGGCAACCATCTCGCTTATCCAACTATTTCTTGAATGCGTATTCCTTAAAAAGGCCACCTATGCGGCTGTTGATTTGGTTTGCTGGAGTTAACCATTGAGGCAGAACTCGACCAGGGGGTCCCTGCCTCGTAGGAGGAACTGAATCCTCACTCTCCATCTCATAACCATCAAGATCGATATCTATACACCGACCATTATAAGCTGACATGCTTGTGGTGTCTGCTGGACCATTTTGGCTGTTTACTAGTTTTGCTACTCGTTTTTTTGACTGCACGGTGCTTTCGGCAAAGTCATCATCATTAGCACCTGGTTCGCTGCCTGCTGAGCCCCTCCGCTTCTTTGTTCCATCAGCATTATCATTGCTGCTACTGCTGCTATTCCTACTCGTTTTACGGTACTCTCTGATTGTAGTTTCTATAGTTTCCAACACACGATCCCCGTACTTATGGACCTTTGCCCTAGATTAAGCACTCAAATTAGTCAACATATTTAGCACTTGATTAATGGTGTAGATGTAACAAATTCTTACTTTCCAATGCCAGTGATCTCGAGAAGTTCTTCTTTGGTTCTTGGTATTATCTTGCTAATCTGCTGCAATGTGGCATTTCTGATGTAGGAATGGGAATTCATCAAGCATCAGCACAAAAGGAATTAAAGGTAAGTGCATTAATTTGTGCATATGGGATGAAGAATTTGAAAAACAGAGTTTACCCAAATATGTGATATGTCATGACCCCCTCACCAGCTTCTTTTACAAGAGCTGTTCGCAGCATACGTAAAGCAGCATAAAGTTTGACAGAAAGATTCTGCAATTAGATAGAATAATATTTGAACATAGTTCTCCAGGAGGTGCTATATGATAGGCACATTAAGACAGTGGATATGAATTTTACCAGGTCGATTTCATTTGTTGATTGAGCGCCCATGTCATATGTCATTGTGTTCATTGGCAATGAACCCTTTGCTGGTGTCCCTTCAGGTTTGTTCATTTTAGATGCCTTTGCAGGAGCAGGAAACCTGCATAACAGCAAAAGTTTATGACATCAACGTTATCAAATTTCAACACTAATCTGAAATTCTGATATAGTATTTTGAATATTATAGCACCTGCAATTGCAGATTGTAATCATAGCAAAAGACAACCTCTACCTTGTCATTATTTTAAAAAGTTTGGTTAACCTGGAATCAGACGGCCAGTAATAGGATAAAGAACACAATGAACACTAACATAGGCATGCATACAAACTCTACCTCAAAATATCATAGTATTATGCGGATTATGAGAAATTATTACCATGAATAAATACAAGCCAACTTGCATAGGTGAGTGACATAGGGAATATATAGCTTCGAAGGCAATATCACAAAACTCACATGATCTCCCATGGATAGTAGATTAGAGGGAAAACTTATGAAATATAAATCTTGAACTAGAAAGCTACTTGATCTAATAACTAAGAAGCAGGGAAATCAAAGAAGATGACTTCTGACAGTATGCCCTCCACATTGCAGAAATCTTGACACTGTATGACTCTACACCAGTGATATATATTTCCTAGTGTCTCAGAAACAGTATCCTGTTCTACATTTAACATTGTCGATTAAGTAAATTAAAAATGAACCTTTCTGCCTGCTCAATCAGTTGCTTGCACCTGGCATTGTAAAAAACCTACCATCCAGTGATCAAAATCACAAGGGCCTTCAATGGCAATCGGTCAGGACCACACAGGATTTTTAATAGCTACGCCATTAGATGACATGGTACATCTATGATAAGTTCCAATTGTCATACTACATTTACATAGCGATCAATTGTATTTATGATGTGTCAATTGCCACCCTTCAACAAGAATATTTTTCATAACAAGTTTTTATTAAACATTCCATGGTTCAACATCCAGTCCAACCTAGAGTCCTCTAAGATTCAACATGCTAAACTAGTTCTGCTAATACATCTGAAGAAATCATCATCAGATGCAGATAGAAGTTAGACTTATATCTCAGTCTTAAATGAACCAAATATTCCTCCTTGAGAATAGATCCGATAAAATGTCTTGAGTATTCCGTGTCATACCCTCATTACCTAGTTGATCTAGTAGTTTAGTCTGGAAAGCCAAAGAACCATACCATATCAAGGTAATACCATAACCGAGTATGAAATCATTATGGTCCACCTGTTGTAACTCCCTGAGGACTTAGCAACTAAAGTTCCTAGAGCAGAGAAAAAAGTGTAGTCAACAATTGTTTATCTTACGGAAGGCTCCTGCAAATTCTTTAGGCGAATCCTCCAGTCATAGTTGTCTAAGAACAAGAAAAAGAAACAAGACTAGTTGAAGAGAGCAAGGAAAAAGTGGAAACCTCAATATGATCCTTTGTTTTCCAGAGAGAAGTCTTTGCACCTTAGACTCGTTTACCTGCAGAATCAAAATCAGTCTCGCATAGATACTGATATTCAATTTAAGATCGAACTGAGAGCACACCACATGGAACAAATGGAAGCCATGTTAATAGAATCACAAAGAAAAAAACACTTGTAGAGTAGAAGGTAAAGATATCTCTGATATATATATACCTTTAAAACAGAAGAAATGGATCCATAAATATCACTTTTCCTGACATCTTCCACAAGTATATCTTCAACAACTAAATGACGAATAACTCTTGATGCTTCACCTTTTGGCAGATGCTTTCCAGCTCCATGAAGGCCCAAATTGTCATGCCTATGTTTCTTAACCTGCAGCAAAAAGTACATAAGTGCTCAAGCCCAGTTTACTACCATCAGAGAGGAAAGATTTCACACACAAATTTGTGTACATTTTGGCTCAGGGAACCCCTGTATACTTCCAGAACATGAGATGTTGAATACTGCTTTCCAGTTGATATTACTAATTCAACCTACGAACAAATATAATGCAAGTAAAATGTGTCAGTTGCCAGATGAAGCCAGTATACTATGACATAGAAATTGATCAACACTAACCATTTGCTTTGCTATATCAGTTACATCCTTCTCAACCCAAGTCAACAGTTTTGAACAATTATCACAGGTTCTTTTACAGTTGTCTGGATTGAACTTTTCACCAAAATGAATCAGTTGTAGTAAACGTCTGCAATCTGTTTCATTCTCACAATAGCTAACCTGCAATAGAAGTAAAAGTATCAGATTCTACATATGTGCTAACCATTGCTGAAAATGAAAAGCATCAACTTAGTTGATGTACCATGCGTGAAAGGTTCTCAATATTTGTTTCAAACACTCTATCATTGCTGACAAACGAATTGCGTCTTGATGCAGATGCCAAGGGACTTTGCTCAATCATGCCTTGGGTAAGCATGTGCTTGACACGAATCTGTTCCCAAGATGAAAAGAAAAGGGGTTCATGTTACTCAATACCTAAAGTTATAGAGAGGTACGCTGAAAAACATCCATATATTGACTTACATAATCACTATAGTTGTAGTACAGTACACAAGATGATCGTAAACCATCTCTACCAGCACGTCCACATTCCTAAAAAGTCAAAAAGAAAAAATATGTTTTGCAGTCAAAGCCAAACCTGCTCTGGCTCAACAGAGGCATATTAGGAGTTACCTGATGATAACCTTCAATAGATTTTGGAAGAGAATGATGAATAACAAAACGAACGTCAGGTTTGTTGATACCTAAAATTTTCATGTATCATTAATATATTTCAATAAATGCAATAATTTATTTACAGACAAAATTCAGATACATATAAGTGAGAAATACCCATTCCAAATGCCACAGTGGCACAAATTATGTTGATCTCATCTTTACTCCACTGCTTCTGCACATATGATCTTTGAAGAGGGTCCATGGTCCCATGGTAAAATGCTGCTTTATGTCCAAATTCCTGGAAAATGTTAAATGAGAAACTAAAAATTTCTTACCATAATGGTGACAGACAGAAAACAAGCATATCCAAAATTATTAGCACTACCAAGTAACATTCTTAACAAGGACCTCTCATTAAAGAATAACAAAGGAAAAAACTACATCCAATGGATGCAATATGTACTCCCTCCACAAAAAGAAGAGAATGTTTAAAATATCCAAAAATATCAATAGGGGAAACTAAAAAGATATTCATATCACAGATGATGAAAGATTGATGCAACTTCAACAAAGACTAAATAGACTTCTTCCTAAATTTCTGGATCAGGAAATGTCAGCATTCTGACATGATAAACATCTAGTTGCCACTTGCCAGAAATTCTAAAATAGTAGATGGTTGATTAGATTATCACAATATTGCTGAGTTTACCACGAAATAGATCATCACTGACAAGCTTGTTCAAAAACAATTATATTCAGAAGAAATTGTATGATAGGCAGGGTTCACTAAGCACAATCAAATGGTAAAACAAGTATAAACTCATAACTTGTTTAGAAAGCATAAAATTTTATAATTTTTTTTAAAATAAAGTAAAAATGTTCCATCTTTTCAAACTTTGGGGTCATTTAACGGCAAAGAAGGGTTAACAGAGAACCATAATCATAGCGGTAAATATTTCCCATTATAATTTTATAAAAATTCAAGGAGGCTTTTGAAGTTTCACCAATTTAGCATTATTGTTGTAATTTAATATTAATGAATCAATTAACTATACAGGGGATTAAGTCAGACAAATATTTTCTAGATTACAAAGGCCTCAATGACAGGAGAACATCCATGTAACCCAAACCAAATATTTGGGACATAAGCTTGTTCTAGTTGATGTCAAACACGAGATGCTTATATTTTTCTGCTTTCTACAAGCATATGTATTAGTTTGTGCAAGTGCAGATATTGGTGAAAGTTGACACTGATCAATAAAGCAGTAACTTCAAAACTTGCAAACAGACGTGCACAAGGATGAGGACCGATAAGATTGAATTTAGAAAATAAAATTTGTAATGAAAAGTTAATATACATTTAAAATTCATGTCTTCAGCAAAATCCAGGATAAATTTGAACATAATGGCATTCACGGAAGACCAATGCTTAGTACATTAGTCACGCAGCATCCACTAGAGACTGAATGTTCTCATAAATAGGCTCCTCTTAATAAAATTCATCCTCTATATGGTTAATGCATCATTAATAGCATACATATTTTATAACAAAATGCATGAACTTCTATGCCCAAAACTTAGACAACTTCTTTCACATAACCTTAAACATCATTATGTGTACTAGCATTTTTTTCCATCTCTTGACATTATTCTAAGAGACCCACAAGTTCTATTCCTTGCTATCTGGTTGGATATATATGGTACACAACCATATCCCATTTCCTGATAGCAATTTAAATGTTTTGACACCGACATCTACTCAAATCCCATTAGAAAAGTATATTACAAGGATTAGACTGAAAATGCAACTTGCATTTAGAAGATGTGATCCAAACTCCAAAGTTTCATTGCTGGAGAATAACTGGTTTGTGGATTTTAAAAGAAAAACAAAGTTCAAGACAATGGTATTCAAGAAGCATTGGGACCCAAATAAAAGCAATAAAAATGCATATATGTGATTTGATTTTTGACAAAAGAAGTTGGTGTGAATACACAAAGTAGTCAAACAATAGAAAAAAGAACAAAAGTGTCAACAAATCAGAGAAGATTTGGTTTTCCCATGACAAAATTTCTAAAAGGTCATAGCATATAATTCAAAAGAAAAACCTGTAGCTTTTCAGCCACTTTTTCGCAGTCCATTCTTGAGAGACAGTAGATGATGCCACAATCATCAAAATGATTTTCTTTGATGAATTTGTCAATGTCCTCCAAACACTTCTTTGTCTTGGGTATTACACAGTACCTGCAAAATGAAACAGATGAGCCAAATCAAAGTCACAATTGATATGTAGTTCAGTGGCACTGACCACAAGTTTGGACGATTGAAACTCTGTCGAAAAACAATGCAGTTCACAAGCCCAAGAGCTTGTACAACATCTTCCTTTACACTGACAGTTGCTGTAGCAGTCAAAGCTAGCACTGGGACTTTTGGAAACTTCTGCTTCAAAATTCCAAGACCCTGGCAAATGAACAATGAAATCAGACTAAACCAAGTGAACGAGTTAAAAAGATGTTGAAATAAGGATTCTTTGCACAACCTGATAATCGGGCCTAAAATCATGCCCCCACTGGCTTACACAATGAGCTTCATCAATAACAATTCTAGCAAGTGATCCCCGAGAATGTAGAGAATCCAGGTGTCTCAATAAAACATCACTCCTGAGATTAAACATATTTCATATCATAAAATTATCTAACCAAGAGAACTGGCAAGTTCAAGTCAATAAGTTTCAAATTGAATCCTAGGATTATTTACAGTTTTACACCTCCAAACTATATCTCACATCTACCATGTGATTTTCTAAAGATAAAGCATCTTACCCGAATAAGCAAAATTTTGTTTTCGACAAACACAGAACTTGATGAAATAGCTTCAGTATTAGTAGGCTATTTAATCTATGCAACTTAAGAAAACCTTGTAGCATCAAAAGACAACCATATTGCACGCGGGGGAAAGCCCCATTGATAGCAGGTAGAACATGGGTAGACAAAAAAGCAGAAAGAACAAAGAAAAACAGGAAGAATAAAATGTATCAAAACAACAGGACATGCTATTAACTTAAATGCAATTCATAGGCACCTCCTCTGAACTTTGTTAAAGAAAGATTACATGAAAAATAACTCAAAACACTCCAAACTATTGTCCATACAGAATAAACTTTAAAATGCTAAAAGAATGAAAAAAATACATGTTAATAGACCTGGCTTCAGATTAGACCTAATATAAGAATAATTGACATTCATGCTACATTAATTCGATTCTGCATTGTCAAATCACATATGAGCTTTGAATCCATGGTCCACATGCAACATGACGTGTTGGAAACAAACTTGTATATTTGCATCTCCTAGAATTTATTTGTTTGATCAGAATGCCTTTTCATTATCTTGATTTTCAGGCCCTTACAGGTGAGTACCAGCTTCACCTCAGGCCTTTTGTTGGGATGAAAATTCAAGAACAAGTCTTGGATGTCAAATGACTTCAAGAACAACTGTATTTTCATCATTCATTCAACAAGATGTAAGGTCCCAAATATTTGTGGTCAGCTGAATGAAATTTTTTCCACCTTTGAACTCCATTGAGGACAAAATCACAAGTCAAATTTCTTCTTATCGTTTGTAATTTTCTTAGTTGGATGCCATGATGCTGGACATAAAAGCATTCAAGTAGAAATGCCATTGGTAGTCTTACCTGAACTAAAGACCATGCAACAGTTGAATAATATTATAACATATGATATTTGTATGATAATCCTAGTCATGCGCAGAAAAGACTCACTTAGCAATTTTTTCTGGAGTGACATACAGCAGCTTGTATATGCAAGAACCAGACATCAATTCTCGAAAAATCTCCTGTTGTTCAACCCATTCCATACTGGCACTAAGATAAGTAGCGGGAATGTTTGCCTGATCAAAATGGAAATGTGGAACGACTCAGTTGATACCCTATGGTATTTCCTTGAGAAGAAAAAAAAAATCCAAATTGTTTATAGAACCTGCAACAAATGCATAATCTGATCTTGGATGAGTGAGACAAGCGGTGAAACTACTAATGTTATTCCAGGGCTGATGAGAGCAGGAAGCTGCAAGAAAACTTCTGTAAGTAATATTCAAAACAGCTGATAGTGTTCTTGCTCTCTATGCTATATATGAGCTTCTATAAAGACGTTTTGCCTTTCTTTTGGAAAATGACATTTAGAATGTTTCTTTCGGAAATGACATTTAGGATGTCTCTAAAATTCAACTATCCAGTACCTCTAATAAAATTGCCAAAATAATACCCGTTTATGTGTTTGATGGTTCAAGACATAAGGGACTGTAAACAGTAAAACTGCAAATGTGTATTGCTTGCTTAAATGATCATTGCCACAAAGACGAAGGTTAAAAAAAATGAACTGAATGTTTGAATATGCTAAACAGGGAAAACACCACCTTCAAAATGAAGTAGATAAAGTCCTCAATGGAACATGTACCTGGTATGTCAGGCTCTTCCCACCACCAGTTGGCATTAAAACAAAGACATCACATCCACTCATTGTTGCATTAATCACCTCTCTTTGATTAGGACGAAATGAGTGATTTCCAAAAACTTTTCTGTTGTTGGCCTGGAAAGAAGTAATAAATTACTATTAACCAAAAAGAAATGAAGATGAAAGGCCATATCAGGCAACAGAAATCACCTCGAGTTTCTTGGTCCATGGAAAATCTAAACTTTTCCACTTTATATCTCCAGATCCTTCAACGTAATTAATGTTCTGAAGCTTTGGAGCAAACACTTCTCTTTCCAAGGGTGCAGCATCAAACCTATCTGTATAGTGGGATGGGGCAGGTGAGCTCCACATCATACAGTTCCCTGTTTCATTTCTTAGATGAACCTGGGTGTTAAACCTAATAGGATCTATCATATATTTGTTTGTGGGGTTCTCAGGTCCAAAACCCCTTGCAGTAGTTGATGATGCCATAGAATGTGATCTCTGTCTTTCTTCATCTAGATTTAGACTGCAAAGGTACTTCTCAAGCAGCTGGATCTTCTTATTCAGATATAACCTGACATAAAAATTTATTGACTTGTGAGAAAAGACTTCTCACATAACAAAGTGATAGAACAACACTCATACAAGGACAAACCGCTTTTGACGAAGATTTTCACAGTCCGGAGGACTAAGCTCAGTAGCATTATCAAGAAGTTCATTTGATACAGCAATGAGCTGATCCTTCATCTCTTGCAGATGAATTGCAGCTTCTGGACACAGAGCTAGCTGCACGCATGGCTATACCATGAAGAATGTGCTGATTGCTAGGAAAATAAATAAATAAATAACATTGAAAAGCATACCTTGGAGCCATGAATACATGATTCATGTAGTTCTGGTGGCAACATGTTTTCATCAGGGATTACCGTACAACTTCTACTGGAAACTGGGGTAAAAGGTGTCTGTTTACACATAAATCCTTCTGGTGTGGCAGTTACTTGATAGTGTTCCATAACTATTTGGTCAACATCAATACTCTGTGTTACATAATCTAATGAAATGTAAGTTTCATGCCAACAACCATATGTAAATTGATTTTAGGCAAGAACCGCCTGAACAACAACAATCAGTAAATCCTACCTCCAATATTTCATCATCATCAAGAGCATCTAAAAACTTGTCATCAGCAAGATTATCAGCAGCAGTACACACAAGCTCATGGTCATCAATAACCCGATGAGTGGCAGAGCTCTGCATTTGTGCTCCAGTTACTTGTGCCATTTCTGAAGCTACATTATTGTTCTTATCGTAAGTACTTTTTAGCAATGAGTCTGTTGCATAATGTGGTGAATCATATTGAGGGAATGATCTAGAATGTGAACTGTAATTGACATGAGAAGGCATATTTTCATGGAATGGGCCTTTAAATACTTGGGAAGTATCCACATTCTTAACATTGTTGGATGAGTCAGTAAATGGAGCTCGAAGATGATCTTTGTTATGGTTCTGTACTGGAGCAGTTAAACCAGGTATCAAGTAATTCCTGCAAGCCAGTTGCATGCTCGAAAGAGCTTTCCAGGCCTGACAAATGATTCAATTCACAGATCAAAAGAATAGTACATCCAGTTGCCACACTTTCCAGCATAAGAAAACTGACCAACATATCAGAATAACATAAAAGAAAGAACATACAAGCTAATTCTAGGACAAACCACTACCATTTATTCATCTATCCTTTGTCCTAGTTTAAGCTCAAATGGTAACAAATTTTAAGTGTAAGAGCAGAAGAATCGGTTCAACTTCAACAATTCAAACTGATTATTCATACTCAGAAGAAGAAACCTCTCTAATCATCATACTCAAGCATACCTTCTCAACTTGTAACAATTGTAGCCTCTCGCTTCCATGAACTTCACAAGCAATAGACCTGATAATTCATATTTAAGAATAAAAATCCAGTCAGAATGAGCACATGTTTCGTGTTGCTAACAGAAAGCACATAAGATATATTTACTTGATTAAATCTAAGATAGACATTGAGAATAGCTGCAGTGGCAACTAGTTCCTACAGAAGTAGGATCTCGGCATACAGTATCATACTGTACCGAGCGAACGTCCAAACTCCGGTACGGTACGATATTTCAATCCTTGAGAAAAACATACTATTACTGTTATGTTTGCTATTTACGTCCAAAGCATTTGTGTCTACCATGATTATTGTGGAGTTTGTTGTCAACAGTTTGCTAGACAGAGGATAAGATCTAGATAAAAGAAGAGGATAGGATACCTTAATGTCACAAAAACATAGATATGCTAGAGAAATGAGATATCACAGGATTCATAATTCACCTCAAATCTTGAGGATGCTCTCTTCAACTTAATTTTTTTTGCTTCATGTGTCTTTTCAATGCTTTATCTGCATAGTACTTAGAGAAACAGTAAGGCAGTCCTAATCCCACTGATGCAATTTGACCAATTCTGCTAATCCCAATCGTATTAGACTTAACTAATCCAAATCCTGATCTAGCAAACTATGCCTACATAGATTTTTTTATCTCTGATTTTTATCATAACAATTTAATAGAAGTTCGAGAAAAATGAAAGAAGACGATTAAATAGACTGAAAGAACCTGGCCTACAACTACTAGTACATGTTTTTAGCACTTACTAGAGTAGATTTTCAGTGCAATCAAAGTGATTCATGGAGCCTGAAAGGATCCAATTTTCTATCAATTTCAATACATAGCAGTATATTTTTGTTTCTGACAGGCAAAATATGATCTACAGAGACAGCCTGAGAAGTCTATTTGCTTCAGTATGAAAGCAATCTAGTATGAGCCATTGAAAGGATATTTTCTTTTTATTTTACCTTTTCTGACTTTTCGACTCTGAAATCATTGGTTAAAGGCACCTTCTGAAAAATCAGATATTGCCATCACACATTCATATATGATGTCTTTTCAAGCATCTTTAAGATATTGAGCAAAAAGATATATGTTCTGCAGACAAGTCAAACAGACAAGCAGCAAAATCTTTTAGAACAGTCATACCTTGTACACAACAACTGATCAACACTTTTCTGGGTTTGAGGTTTTTGTGTCGGTAAAGAGAACAAAAAACCTGAGCTCAAAAATTTGTCTTGACAGGAAAAATCCTCAAAAGCAGATGCATGATTGCACCAGTTGACCTTAGGAGATTTGTCTTCATTAGCAGACTTCAACTTAGTTCTGTTATGCATCTAAGGGCCTGAAATTTTATTAGGTAGAAGACCAAGCAAAAGCAAATTATGTAGACATGAAAAGAACTAGAATAAATATATCAAGCAGAATTTTATTTATCAGTACACATGCCTTGAAGTTGAAGAGTCATCAGTTAGCATGTGATGCAGGAGCAATTTGGTTTATATGTTATTTGAATAAATTTTATTAGTTTTGAGATATTTTGCATTTGTCATAAATTGTCATATGGCAACATCTATGCAAGGAAAAGAAAAAGGAAATAAATACAGGAAAAGTAGAAGAAATCAAATTCATTATTGATTGAAGATGCAAATCTTAATTGGAGATCTTAAATATTCATTTCTACAAAGATGAAAGTCTATCAATCAATAATATCATCAAGAATGGAAGGTTGTCCCTCAAGAATATTATCTTCTTCGAAGGAAAGAATAGATTGTATATTTGATTTGATGTGACTGTAATTTTTCTTATTTCTGTAATTTCCTTTTAATCTTTGTACTTGAGCCTATAAAACGGGCTAGAACATGTAATGGATCAATGAAAAAAGATGAATTGAGTTCTTTCCCACCTTGTTTGTGGGTGGTGTGAGGCCTTCATCCTGGGAATGTTCTCCTTGAGCCTGAGCGAGTCTAGTAATTACCCATTTGTTTTCCTATTATCTTTCAGTTACTATCTTCTATTCCTCCCTGTTATGTTCATCTATTATCAAAAAAATATTCTGCCACTCTCATCCTACATCAGCTTGCCTTTGTTATTATGATTACCTCATAGTAAAATCTGCAGAGCAGAAGTGAAACGTTAAACATTTAATTACATAGGCAGAAGACAAACAACATCCTGGGATAATAACAAGCTCCTTTTTTATGTTTATCATTTTATTAAATTATAAATACCCGAAACCGCCATTTGGAAGTATTCCAAACCAAACATAAATTATACATGATGTATCACTTTGGGTTGACATTTGAATAGAACTTAAACAACAATGTCTTGATTATTGCATGCAAAAGCTGCAACATGAAGAATGATCATCCCAGAAACTTGCACTAGCAGTCACTCTTCCTCGATGAAATATTGCAGTGACTAGCTATAGCTGTACATTGAAACAATAGCACAGTAGTTCAATGGAACTTGCCGTGCACCGAGCAGAGTAACCCAAAATACTACAACATCTCATATTTTAGCAGAAGAAGCAACCTTGGTAACATATATGCATACTTCCTATTGTTATTTGTATTGTGATAAAACTTTGCTTTTACTATCTTTGTTTCAGAGATATTGTAATTTTTGAGTTGTGACCTTGCCCAAATGCACACTTCCTATTTCATGACCAGAAAAAGGCATACAATAACTCTTTGGCATTAGAAGCAACGCTTACTGCAAAAAAGTCAAGGCAAACGCAAAACTACACATACATGCAAGACATTATTAAGCACTTCAGTTCCTCATTTTCAATCACTGTCCAGTGCTAATCTATCAAGAATTTGTGAATGCATAAAGTGTGCTGAACAAGATAAGCACTTGAGGTTGAGGAATCAGGTTGACGATAAATTGTTTGGAGAATTTCAAAGATGATGGATACATCTAACTAGGTGCTTGTACACTTTTTTTTTTTCTCTCCAAATACCAGTGGATGATTTACACTTGCAATATTTACTTTAAAATCTGCTTAACTGCACAACCAACATATACTAAAAGATCAAAAACTGTAACAGCATTAATAGGCCGATGTATTATTAACATCAAAAGCTATAGTGCTATACAGAAGACCAACATATATAGTTATAGCATCCATGTCATCTTTTCATTTGGTGCATCATCCAACAAATATTTAAAGCTTGCTGTCCGAGCAGTGCTGTGACAGCAAATACCGAAGTTCCCTGGAGACAGGCATCCACAGTTTGGGATGGGAGGAGAGAACAGGAGAGAAAGAGGAGACGCGGGAGAAGGAATTAGAAGAGACGGGAGACAACAAGAAGCAAACCCCCAAAAAGTCGATTCCCCCTAAAACACGATGAACTACTCAACTTGGTGATCTTAACAACAAGAAGCAAACCACAATCCTCAACGTGTACACGCTAGAATCAACAGTGATTCCCGGTTCTCACTCAAAACTGATGCCCTTTCTTTTCCCCAACCAAATTTCAAGAAGCAAACCCCAATCCTCAACGTGTACACGCTAGAATCAACAGTGATTCCCGGTTCTCACTCAAAACTGATGCCCTTTCTTTTCCCCAACCAAATTTCTAGTTCTACCGTTCCATTCAACCAAAAGAAAATCAGAAATTTCTACATCATAGCTGTTTGCTGACGAAAGTGCCTTCCATAAATCATCTACAGAGCCCTCGGATCAAATCTGACCCAAATCTACCCGAAAAAACAGTCCAATCGACAAAAAACACGGCGAACGCCCTAACAATCGCAACTTCACCAATCCTAACCTGAACCCAAAAGAAAAAAAAAAAAAACTCAAAAAAATGTGAGGGAAACAAGAGTCATTACCTGATATCTCCAGAAATTCGAAAGAGTGAACGAGGGGCCTCGATCGTTCCAGGGCGAAGGTGAGGGAAGGGCTTCTGTTTGGCGTAGAGAGAGAGAGAGAGGGAGACTGGTTTCGCACTCCTTTTTGCCTTTTCCCTTCAAAACTAGCGCGGGGTGATGTCGAGGGAGGGCTTCTATCACGACCGTACAAACTCACCGACGAAAGGAATGTGGGCCGAATTGGTCCATCCGGCCCAAATATCCCACCTCTATTTAGGCCCGTGAGATCTCAGAATCCAGAATCATAAATATGTTGATCGATTGATTTGACTTGTCGTTGCGATTACCAATGACTCAGTGATTGACGTATGTAATGGACTTCACTTCGTTTACCCATTTTTGGGTACTGAAACGGTTATTAAGCTCGTCCAATTTTGACTTCTCACCGGACCCAATTGGCAGTCAATTGGACCAATTATTATATTATATATATAATATATATAATAATAATTTTTACAAATGATAGAAAAAGAAACAATAATAAACAACAGCGAAGAGAAATGAGACTGCATGACGCCACGTGCCATCACGAGATGTCCTTCCCCACCTTGTCCCTGCGAACTTGACACTTCACGCTTCATGATTCGGACGAGGCTCCCCTGTCATGTCGGAGACAGGGACCAACGTTTCTCCCATCCCACAACGGTTCCCTCCATTGAACGCCTTTAAAAGCGTAGCTCGCGTACGCTACCCCGATGAAACGTCCCCGAAGACTTCTTCTCTGCCGTGTCAGTCTGAGAACGTGCCACGGGGCCCGCCTTTTTTGCGTCTACCCGGCGGTCATGTGGACGTCGGCGGCTTCGCTTCTCCTTCCGCGAGCAATAAAGAAAGGGAGGGGAAAAGAATCGCTCGTTCCTCCTCGCATCTCACGCCCGCCCTCAAATTATGGCGCTCACACGACTCTCATCTTACCTGCTCCCTCCTCCCTCTTGCTCCCCGATACTGCACGAGCAAAGCGCCGGAGGAAGGAGGAGGAGGAAACATGGGCGAAGGGAGGTCTCTTGCGGAGACGCCGACGTGGTCCGTCGCCACCGTTACCACCGCGATGGTCGCCGTCTGCTTCCTCGTCGAGCGTTCCATCTACCGCTTCGGAAAGGTAAAGATTCTCTCTCTCTCTATCCACTCGCCAAGAAGAGAAAAGAAGATAAAAATGTCTCCTTTCATCCCCAAACCCACTCCTTCCGAGTTCTTGAACGCGGCAGTGGCTGAAGAAGACCAAGCGCAAGGCCATGCTCGCCGCCCTCGAGAAGATTCGCGAAGGTGACGACTCGCTTGATCCATTTCGGCTCCCTTCTTTTGTTTCTGCAAGAAACGGCGGATCTTGATGGTGTTTTCTCGGTGGTGGCGGTGGTGGTTTTTCTTTGACACGTAAAGAGCTCATGTTGCTGGGTCTCATCTCGTTGATGCTGAGCCAGACGGCGAGGTGGATCTCCGAGATCTGCGTCCCTTCTTCGCTCTTTAGCAGCCGCTTCTACGTCTGCTCCGAGAGCGACTTAGAGGATCTGTTCGCCGGCGGGGACTCGGGGCCGATGTCGGCTTCGAATCGTTCGGCGGCCGTGGAGACTGCGAAGGAGCTGCTTGGATTGTCTGCGAATCATTGTCCAGAGGTGGGCGACTCCCTTATCGAATTTGCTCGGCTGCTGAGAATTTGGTTGATGGATCTTCGTGTTCAGGGCTATGAACCCTTCGTCCCGTTCGAAGGATTGGAGCAGCTCCACCGCTTCCTGTTCATTCTTGGGATCACTCATGTGGCGTACAGCTTCGTCACTGTCGTTCTGTCCATGACTAAGGTAACATGGTTTGAGTAGCCTTTGGGCATATGGAGGCTGGTTTTCTGTGTTGGTCATCAAATTGTTTTCTTGATTGCCACGAAGATTTACAGCTGGAGGAAATGGGAGAGCCAAGCATATCCAATGTCCAGTGAGGACTTGCAAGGTAAAATCATGATGTATTTTCCCATATCTTTGTTCAGGAATTCTTCTTAATTGACAAGTACACGTTACATGAGCCATCGGAATATTCCTGAATGGCTTCTGAATAGAGGTGCTTTGGTTGGGTGAATGTCAACTCATTGCTTATTTTAATAGAATTGTTAGTATCACCTGATGGAACGACAACAAGTTACTAAAGGCAATTTGGTGGGTTGAATCCGTCTAAAGTTCTTTCTTAGAGAGGCTTGATTGGATTTTGCATTGACTTGGAAATTAGATGCTGATGTATTTCTATTGGCTCAGAAAGCTAACTTGATTAACCTTCATTTACTTTCCTTTAAAATACACACACACACACACACACACATCTCTCAAGTTAGTCTACAAATGTTTCGGTTATGGGAAATTCTGCAATGAGAAGCTTGGTGAAAATGATTTCTAAAAGAGCATCTTTGGAAAGAATGATGTTGTAGCCAATAGAATTATGGAACGATATTTTAGCATGTGAAATTCCTTACTCTAAGAAGACTTTTGGAAGAATTTTGTTTATAGCATTGCTTTCTGCTATTGCACTGTCATGCCTCTTTCATTTGATTGGAGTTCTGTGATTGTTTAGCCGGATGACTTGACGTTGTTTGTTTTTGTTGAAGTAAGGAGGAATCGGATGATGAAGAGACAGTCTACCTTTGTTTTTCATCATGCATCTCATCCATGGAGCAAGAACAAGATTCTTATTTGGATGGTGAGATTTAGATAAGATGTGTAGTTCGGGCTTTATCCTATGGTTTTGTGATACATAGGAACAATTTGTTTTAAATATTTACTACTTGATGTTCTCAAATGAACCTCTGTGAAGTTGTAACAAAGACAATGTGAATTTGACAAATGAAAAACTTGGAAAATCTTTCTTTTGTTATAGGTATCTTGTGTTGATTAATTATCAAATATTTAATTATTTCCTCTCCTTTTAAATAATGAATTTTGTGATTTGGTTTTGAGATACTATTGACTTGAGGTCATGTTAATTCCTAGTATAGACTCTATAGATATCCGTGATAAAAATTATAATCCTGCAAGAATATGTTATTAAGGTGTGATGTTTTATTTGTTAGGATATTTTTGATGTGCTATTATTTTCCATGCTTAATTTTATTTTGGAAAGTTATGGCAGGTTCGATGACGAAATAATAAAATATTTGTGGCGAGGTTCACAAAATATTACTTTATGCTTATTGAGTGTCTCCTAACTCTTCCAAAACATATACTCAAAAAGTAATTAGACTTAAATTGAAACTTTGCTGGTTAAGCTTCTACAACCTTTTAATTTTAAGAATATTAGAATATGATTTTATGGGAAACGAAGTCTTGAAAGTTGAATTATGAATGCTTTTCTCAAGCAGCATCTATGACTCATTCATATTTTATTTTTCTCACTAAAATTTAATGTACATATTTGGATTTTGTAGATGAGTGAAAAATGGTAAAAGCTTCTCAAGTGACAGTTACTGAAGTGATCAAATTCACTTCTGTATCTTGTTCCTTCTAAAAAGAGAGAAAGAAAGAAAAAAAAAAGCTGACCAAGTAAACAAGACTCTGCAATGCAGGGAGTCACTGTACATAACCTTACCCCAGCAAGCAAAAAGGTTGATTCCATGACTAGTACCTTTGATGTCCAGAGCAGCTTTTCCATTCTGCTAGGAATGACATTGGAATATATGTACTATTTTGTTTGCTCATAAACTTAGCAATAATCTTGAATGCTGTTCAATTAATCAGTTAGGCACCAGGGATGATCTTTTTCTATTTTTTTAAGCAACTATTTAATCATTCATCTGGTAAGATGACAAAATATCAGTGATGATCTTGCCATCAATCAGTATCAATATGCTTCTGATTTCTGACATTGGCTCTCAAACTCTATGTAGCTCTGTTTCTTCCGCCAATTCAAGGGATCTATAGCCAAGTCAGATTATATGGCATTGCGTTTAGGTTTCATCACTGTGAGTATCTCAGTTCAAATTGCTTCTAATGCTACCTGATTTTTACACCCTTCTCATGAAGCTTTCTTACATAATTGTTACATTAACATTTTCTTTCTCTAGGCAATTACTCTTAGCCATCCCATGGCCGTAAGGTTTAGATTGTCATGCAGCGGCATTAGGTGTTTAAGTTGTTTTGTTGGTGTACTTGAATTATGCTTTCATTTCAGAATCACAAATTGCCACTTTCTTATAATTTTCACAAATATATGGTGCGGAGCATGGAAGATGAGTTTCATGGAAGTGTTGGCATCAGGTACACAAAATAAGCAATTTGATCAAGGGTGAAACTTTAATTATTTTTGGACATAATCATTTAGTGATGCTTTTTCCATGTGCCATCTTACAAGTGTTGAGATGCATGGACACGTTAAGTCCTAGCAGTACTTAGACTTGTAATGCTTGTTTTCTGAATATATTTTGATATGTTTCTTCTATTCATATACTGTTAAAAATACTAGATTTAAGAGTTCATTTATAGGGGCACTTTGGGTGGAATTGTGTAAAGTGAGAGAATTAAATTTATAATTTAATTCTAGGTTTCTTAACATAGTTCTTAGTTATATGGACAGATTAATTGCTAGGTCAGCTATTCAGCTATATTTAGTGAATGTAGATGTTTGAGTGTAGACTATAATGGGTTCATTTGATCTTTCAGTTACAAAGAGAAAAATTATGCCTCTTAAAATAAGTGCCATGAAGTATTTGGTTCGTTCAGTACATTATATGAACTCTTTGGATCTTTCGATACAAGTATATCTAGTTCTTTTCTAGCCTCACCTGTAAGAAGTCTGTATTCACCAACAATAGTATCTCGTAAGAGAAGAACCATAACCAAGGGTTGTCATAAATATCTGGTACTGGAAGTACAGACTTAATACTTACGAATCACTCATATAAGTAGGCCATATACTGCTTTAAAGCTACAGTCCTTTATTTTCTTGCAGTTTACTAACCAAATATCTTTAATTATTCTTTTGATATTCTTACTTGCCTACTGTATCATCTGGAATCATATTTAACTTTCATATATAATTTTGATGAATCTTGCTTCCCCAATTCCTTCTTTTGACATTTTGATCCCAGTCATGCTTGGTGTTCCTATGAATAGCAGTAGCATTTTCCTCCAATTTTAACAAGATTAAATTTATAATGATTTGCTGTTTCAATATGCTTCCTTCGTTGATGTTGCAGCTGGCCACTTTGGGTGTATGCAATAATGTGTATATTTGTGAACATTCATGGCAAGTCATCTTTCTTTCACTATTGTTTCTTTTCTGTAATTGATTCATGGCCAGTTCTTTTCTTCATCCAATCATCTTATCCTTCTTCATCTTTGCAGGGCTTAATATATACTTCTGGTTATCCTTTGTCCCTGCCATTGTAAGCTTTTCCATCACCTTTTCTTCCAAAATATGGGCTACTCTCCTCAAAAGCATATTTTTTATATTTTCCATGAACGTACAAAAAAGTTGGTCGTGCTGGTGGGGACCAAGCTTGAACATGTCATTGCTCAGTTAGCTCTAGAAGTTGTTGGGGCAACAGATCCATGTGTTGGGACACAACTAAAGCCACGTGATGATCTGTTTTGGTTTGGAAAACCAGAAATCTTATTGTGGTTGATACAATTTATTTCCTTTCAGGTGATGATGATAAAATTACTGCATAATAGTTCTATACCTGTCATTACATAATAGTTTGTTGCTATTGTGTTCTGACATTCCTTTTATACATTCAGAATGCTTTTGAGATGGCAACATTCATTTGGTCCTTGGTAAGATGGCATTCACTATATTTCTTCTGCACTCTTGCTTAAAAATGTATTTGGTCTTCTCCAGACATTCTTGAATAATTTGTTGCTAAGCTATCTGCTTGGTTCTGTATTTCTCTTATTGAAGCAATTTTGCTCATGAGTAGGTTCTTTGTGTTTGCAAATACTTGTTGAAAGCAATTATTTGTGCAGAGAGAACACTTTATTTATTATACTGATAAGTTGAATGTACACATGAAACTCTCTTGATTTTACATTAAATGTCTTTTCTTTTATTGTATTTTTAACATATAATCTCTTTTTACAGTGGGATTTAAGTTCTCAATCATGTTTCATGAAGAATCATTTTATGGTTGCCACTCGCTTGGTTTCCGGGTAAGTTTGTCTATAGTCGTGTTACATGCTTCTAATTTTAAATGATAGATTTTGCAGATCTATGACTTTTAGCAGTTGATCTAATGCCCTGCTATGCTCATGTTATTGATATATGTTGGTCTATTTTGTAATCAAATCCGTTATTTTGAAGGTGTAGCTAATTTATCATCCTCTAGAGTCTAGATCACTGTTACTTTAGAATAATTTAATTAGTTTGGACTTTGAAATTTTCCAATCGAGGTAGTTCTGACTTGGGGTGCCACTAGAGGTAGAGAGACTTGAGATTACACAAAACATGTGGAGAGTTAAATAATTAAAATCTTAGGAACACAAATTGTAGCTAACGGATTTGTAGGCTTGGGTTGATAGTTCAGGAGGGTGATTACGAATTAGGAGTTTAGGACCGAGTACAATGAAAGAGCTGAGTGTCATCACCCAGAAGACAAAGAAGATAGTGCAGTGATCATCAGCGTGGAACATGATTACCAATTATGTGATGCAATTTGATTATTTTACAGGGAATCATCAGTGGCTTTACAGATACAAAAAAGAAGTGTATGTATGTTGTGTTCCATTAGAATAAGATGAATGCATCTGGCATCTTTCAAGTCGTCTAGGTTGAATCTCATGTATTTATTTTGATGCAATTTTCATACACTACACTTAAGAAAATGTCATTCATTGACTTGAGTTGGTTTCTTATATGTTGCAGGCTACTAGTTCAGTTTTGGTGCAGCTACAGCACTTTACCCCTGAATGTGATAATTTCTCAGGTTAGGTTAAACTTCAAATTAAACTGTTTCTTCTTCCTTTAATCAGCATGACATTCTTTAGCATTTTAATACACACTTCTGGGTCAGATAGTCATGTTTTCGTATATGAATATAATAGTCTCTATTTGCATGTGTTTGATACTAGCACCTCTTGGAAATTGCAAGAATGTAATAAAAAAAATGCTTTTCTGGAAAATTTTAGACCAGTGCAATTTAATGCTATTTCAAGCTTCTTTGTGTGTGAGATATTCTACAAGTTTCATCTAATCAATATAAGTCCAGGTTTCCTATTCAGAGAAAAAAGACGTGAACCTTATCCTCCGTTTTTCACTTATGGTGCTTCTATTTTTCCAATAAATTTCATTGAGCAATTCCATAATTGTCAGTTTGCTTCAGTACTTGTTGGTTGAATCTGAAACTTGGGGAGCAAGTGCTGTGACTAGTGCATACACCAAGTCATCAAGCTGATAAGGAATCTACATTATATCAAAACCTCCCTAATACTATATCAGACATTTGTTTAATTTAATGAGGCTTATAAAAATGTAAAACATTGTAGAATGAGTATCCAGAGGAACCCTATAATGCGGTCTATATACATCACAAAGGCTCTTATGTAAATTGTAAACCATTTAAAATTCTACAAAGTTGATCAACAACATGCTTGCGCACATAAGCACTGGCGAGAAGAGGCCTCAAGAAGACCACAATAAGTCACAAGGAAAGAATTAAAGGTTCTCCTCACTTGGAAAACATATGCCCACCGGTTTGTTTGCGACAACCAGAGTCCATAAATTTTTCATCAGGTCCTTCGAGTCGCATTGGTTTAGCTATCTATTGGTCAATAGTCTGAATCACCATTCTTCAAAATGGATCTGTAACTTGTCGATTCCTCTCTGTAGCTATCATCGTACTTGTTTAGCACAGAGTTAATGCTCCAAAATAATTGATGTGCATTAACTACGCTTGCAGCTTGGTTAGGTTCCTTTTATTTTTCCTACATATGTCAAAGAGGCTCTGTACTATTATGGGCACCCACACAAAAAAAAATGTGCTTGCTAGGAAGCCATTTATCTATTGTTTGTAATATCCTAATGCCATTGTCTTAACTTTTGTTCCTGTAACAAAATGTAGATGGGGTCCAAATTTAAAAAATCTCTGATAGCTGAGAGCGTGAGGGAGTCGCTTCATAGTTGGTGCAGAAGAGTCAAAGAGAAATCTAAACGTGACCCTGTTCTTTCACGACTTGGAACTACTACTACATCAACTTGCTCATTGGAATCAACTGTTGATGAGACAGATGAGACGAACACAATTGGATCAGGCACATTGTCCCGGTGCTCGTCACGAGCCTCTTTGGAAGAACTTGCTGCTGATACTTCAGACGTGCAGGAGAACAAAACCCCTCATCTTTAGTTGGAACAGATTGATTGAAGATAACACCCAATTCATCACTACTTCCAAGCAGGTTTCATTTTCCCAGTACGGAGAACCATGAAGCAGATTGTTGATAGGATCGCGAGCATTGCACATGACTGAAAGCAGAGAAATGATGAAAAATAACAATGCAAGCAACCATGACAGCAGTTCTTGTAGGGTGTCTACTATTTTCAGTTTCTTGTGATATGCATTGCATGTTTGAAATGAAGTTGTGTATTGTTTGCAGGGAACACAGCACTGCCTGTAATGAACAAAATGTTCCCTTTGGAATTAATATTTGGATTTCATCTTTCTTTCAGAAGAAAGACTCTATATTTGTTACTATTGTTTTATTTTTTGTCCTTTTCCTTTCTATATTTGTTCTTCTATATGCAAATTTCTTAATTGCCTATCACTATGAGTAAAATACCTATGAAGATCAAGTTATGTACACTTGTTTTCCTGATATAACAAGATGTATATATATATATATATATATATATATATATATATTCATGTCCTAAGAATCAGATTCCAGAAATGACTAAAAAGGGTTGGGAGGGTAAATGCCTTAAGCAAAAACATGTGCAATACACAAGAAAGCAAACAAAAACACAAAAAATATCACAATATGATTGTTGTAATATTTTTGGATAACATAAATGTAAATTACTAGGAAAAATTGTGAACTTGGTGTTTGGAATGGATTGACTTAGTTGATTAATATGATTTAATTTTAAGCTTCATCAATGATAAAACAAATTCCCAAGTGAAGTTTATATAAGTATATCATAAATTGTTTGTTGAAATAAGAGATCTACAAAAAAAAAAAAAGATTAATAGGCGATCCAAATTTGTTGTGTTTATTCACCCCAAATGTTGTGAGAATAATTTGGGAATCGAAGGTTCTAGTAACAAAGATAAGGGTAAAATCGTTAAAATAAGCATGATTTGTTGGCCCGGAAATGGACCATGAGAGAATACATGATTCCGACTCCGATAGCCACCGGCTTCGGTTACAACTGTTCTATTTTGCACGAACCATGCCAAGACAGCGCGACTGAGATACACGTGAAAGAAGCACGTCGCGACTTCACACAGATTTGGCGATGGCGGTCAAAATTTTTAGTCGCATGGCTGGTCAAACCATGTTAAAGAGACAATAGTTGCCACGTGGAAATTGGCCATCCGCTCGCCGCCTGGCCGTGCTAATTAGCATGACTCCAATTAGCACCGGCTCGGGTCCGTTGCTCCACTCGTTAGGTTGTGGTGGACACGCGGTCGTTTCCTATTTCGACAGCCGTCGCGTCCGGCGTCTTCCTGTTCATCCTGTTCGAGAGAGAGAGAGAGAGAGAGAGAGAGAGAGAGAGGAGGCTATGATGCAAACTTCGGTGGTGTCGAATCCCTCGTCTTGTACCGAAGCCACCTCCTCTTCAGCCGCCGCAGCCTTCTTGCCTTTCCGTCCTCTCCGCTTCAAGGTCTGTCTCCGCTATTCTTTTCTCCCTTCCTTTTTGGTTTGAATTGGGGTGGTTTCCGGTCCCCCGGGGATCACAAGGTATCGCTGTGTAAACGACAGGATTCGGGCGTCCGGGGAACCAGGATTTCGATCTTGACGCGCGGGTTTCGCTCGCATAGGGGTTACGCTCTTCGGTCGATTCCCAGATTTAGGAGGCCGGCCGGTGAGCCTCTCGATGGTCTCAATATCGTTTGGTTTGGCCGATGCTTTTTCGTTGTTAATTCTGGTTTTATTTATATTACGCTTGATGAATCAATCACCAAAGTTCGTTTTTTTCCCCGGATGAAGTGCCCCCTTGATGACCGCCATATGAGATCATATAGTTTTAAGGCAATTAGAGGTCTTCTGTCAAAAGGAGAAGGGATTGGGTTATCAGGAGATTTGGATTTTTCAGTGTCCCTTGGGTTGCTCTTCATGCCATAATTATGAAGCTCCATAAAGGAATGGGAATATAAGCTAATTGAGGCTTTCAATCCTCCATAAGTATTATTTTTATGCATATTTTGTCGCTATCTTTTACATTAATTGTTGATATCGGAAGTGAATAAAGTTGCTGCAGGGAAGTGATTAATCAAAGAGTTATTAGAAAAACCAATTTAATGTCGTGAATGTTTGTATGATTTACACAAGTCCGTATTTAAGTCTCAGAATGAAATAGATAAACTTTTATACTTCATATTATAGAAAACAATGTGTACATCTGAGACATTAGTCAGAAGAAGATACCACATTACTACTCATGTAACTGATGCTACACTCCAAGGTCAAAAGATGCTAAATAAGAGAAGAATAATAAGCAGCGAAAAAAACACAACTAATCTGAGTTCATTCTGATTCTGTTATCTGGAGTACCTGATACGAAGTACATTACTTGCGCTTTTAATTCAATTCATGATTACCAACTGAATGTAAATTTTTAGCTAGTGCCTGGAGAAATGTAGACAAATGGACAATGAGGAACATTAAGTTGGAAACTGAATTAAGGAAGTTGATAGGAGAGAAGATTGTGATGTCATGAATGATAAAAGAAAAAAAAAAAAAACAGAACAGTAGAGTTGTAAGAACTCCAGCAAAGTTACTTCATTTCGTCAAAGGCAAAGAAGTTGGACTGCAAAGAACAAGATGAATGGTGCTATCAGTTGTTTTTTCACATAATTTTTTAAACCCAAAAATACTCATATTACATAATACAATTGACTACATTGACATACAATAAGTATCTTTCAGTCTTAAGCTCATTTTCTTGAAATCATATTTTCCAAAGTATATGCATTGTGTCTGAAGTTGCACCACTGTCTTCCTATAAGGTGTTTGGCATGAGGGTTATCTATTTCTTAGCACAGTATAAAAGCCATTTTAACTTGGTTGACCTTTTTTTTTTTGTTTTTAGAAAACCAAAACTATAGGATGCTATGCTCCTCTTCTTTCCTCTGTCTTTATGGGTCTATGTTAGCTTAATCAATCTTTCTCTTTGCTACAGTGGTTAAATCAGTTGCTACTCCTGATCCATTAGTAGAGTTACCTCTAACTGCTGAAAATGTTGAGTCGGTGTTGGATGAAGTGCGACCATATCTTATAGCAGATGGAGGAAATGTAGTACTTCATGAGATAGATGGAAACATTGTAAGATTAAAATTACAAGGAGCATGTGGTTCTTGTCCAAGTTCTGTAATGACGATGAAGATGGGCATTGAGCGTCGCTTAATGGAAAAAATTCCAGATATAGTTGCTGTCGAACCAATCACTGATGAGGAGACTGGTCTTCAGCTGAATGAAGAAAATATAGAGAAGGTAACAAATAGCATATTAATAATTATGTTAACATGTGGTTTTCTCCATTGGAAATTTGGGATGCTGAATGTGTCGTATGTTCTTTTTTGTCATGATTGTGACCGCAAAAGTGTTATTTTAGGTCCATGATTTTTGAAGATTTTTAGTCTTTGAATTGAACTAATTACCTTCCATATTTTAGGGGTGCTAGTTCACATTATTTTTTACTTTTTTATTATAAATGTTCTGGTGTTTGTGCATTTCATATTTCTCGTGTACTTTTCTTCAAGGATTATCGATTATAGAAAGTTAAGGTATCTACAAGTTACCACCATGAAAACAGAATTGATCAAACATAAAACAATGCTACCTCTACCTTTCCTTGTCTTTGTTCCATCTGTTTAGCTGTTAGGTGAGTATATTTTAATTCAGATGAAATACGGTGTGAGTTCCAACTCTCATGCTAAGCGTCTAATTCTTTAATCATCTTTACCAAACTGAGCTCAAACCCAACTATGAATGTAGTCTCCAAAAGGTCTGAACAGCGACCTGTCTGGACATCCTTTGTATATCTTTTTGTTTTGCCAATTTTTTTACAATTGAAATATATATGCATGTTATGTAAGATCTCAATCTTGGCGGTTAGCAAAAGTTTGCTATGTCTCCAACTATCATGTCCCATTAACTGGACTGTTGCATTGCATCCTGACATGACTTGTAAAAATGTTGTGGTGTGATTCAATGGTTCGTTGTGGAGCAGTTGATCGCCCATTTAGGCTATTACGAGTATATATTTAACAGGGTTTATGGATTTAAGTTTAATTACACATGAGCCTTTCGTTGCATTGTATTTGAGCAACTTCCAATGTAACACTGTCTGGAACACTTTCAGAACAGCGAGTTTTATGTATTTAGGCCTTATGTTCCTTTGAAGTTAAAAACAAGAAGTTAAATCTTGCTATTGCTAAAGTGTAGCTCTTGATGAGAGAAAATGATAATGAAAATTTTCATACCAAATTGTATTGATATATGAACTCAATAAAGCATTTTCCCAGTGTGAGGTGACTTTGGTAAACTACTTTTTTCATGTCTTGATGCCCTTGGTTGATAACACTTGTTTATAATTCTCATGATTCCAGCTTGAATATTGCACCATTCACTTGTGCTATTGCTGAGAAGAGCTAAGTTAGATCTCATTTTGGAGTCCTTGTGGATTTGATTGCTGTTCAAGAAATGGAAGTTTGTGACCAAAACCCTTTAGTGATTTATTTCCAGCTGAAGCTTGGAATCACTAAGAATGATATTGATTTCGGTGCTTGATGGCAATATTTCTTGGACTGGATGGAGGACATTTTTTTTGCAAGAATTCTTAACTTATCCTTGTGGTTCAACTTCTTTCTTGTGGTGTTTTTCTGCCGCCAACATTGTACTGAACTGTTTTGAAATCTTGGCAGCCTTGATATTACCATTTCTTTGTGTGATTACATAAACAAACAGATGCCAGAATGAGAAGCCTGATACTTGCCTCTTTTTCCATGTTAGGTACTTGATGAGATAAGGCCATACCTTGCAGGAACCGGTGGTGGTGAGCTTGAGCTAGTCAAAATCGAGGAGCCCATTGTTAAGGTTCGGCTAACAGGGCAAGCCGCCGGGGTGATGACTGTTCGAGTGGCAGTAACTCAGAAGCTGCGAGAAAAGATACCTGCCATTGCGGCTGTTCAGCTTTTATCGTAGGTCGGCCGAAGACTTATTTTTATACTTATTTCTTACACTATGATGTTGTAAGACGTTGTATAGTCAATAATTTTGCTTGATACAAAAAGCTCAAGAGACTCATCATCTTTTCAAAATCGAAGCCTTTGTGATTGATTTGAGGTGATTTTGATTGCATCTCTCATGTTGTGTAACTTCAGAGATAAACAATGTCTAGAATATGTTGTGCAAATTATAACTTTACATCCAGCACGATATATATAAATGGTCATGGCAATATATATATATGGTCATGACGGTCCACATGAACCATGGCAAAATTAGGGTTTCTTTCTCTTACAATAGAATTATTAAACTATAATATGCATGGATGATGATGCATCCAGTAAATACAATGTCAATTTTTTTTCACAAGGGGAAGACTTTATGATTTTCTAGAAATTAAATCCTCTACAATAATTAGGTAATGAGACTATAAAAATTTGTCTCTGGACAACACTAGAAAAAAAAAAAAAAATCAAACTTTGTATCAAGATTTCTAAAACCTAACCTAAACTCTGATGTAGGTATTCATTTATAATTTTTTAATAGATTTTAATTTTAATATATAATTTTTTTATAAAAAATTAATAATATATTAAATATTGTAAATATGTCATTTATAATTTTTTAATAGATTTTAATTTTAATATATATTTTTTGTATATAAATTTAATAATATATTTAATATTGTAAATGTGTCAGCTAAGCTAACTTAACTGATAAAATTTTCGCTTTCGTCACTTATCTTAGAGGGAAAAAAAAGTATATAATCTTATCTATAAATATGAGTTTTTCTTATCAAAAATTAATATATCAGGATAAAATCATAAATGTGCTAACTATTTTAGTTGATAAAATTTTTATGGTCCATATATTAGTATGAAAGTATTTAGTAAAGGAAAAAAAGAATTCTATTCATATCATCGAGTGTTTCTTCATGCACGCAGTGAAGCAATAATTAAGATCAAACCAAGTAATAGGGAATCCAAGCTTAATTGATTCTAACAAATTAATCCTTTTTAGCATACTAGAAATAGTCTATTCCTAATAACAAGAAAATCCCACAATTTGCTCGATCATGTGTTCTTTTGATGATATACATGAAAATAATTATTAAGCTTATCGCAAAATATACTCGATTATGCCCATTATACGTGTTCGGCTGTGATTCACCCTAATTCGAATCTTGCAGCTGATCCTTCCGCAGTAAACCACTAGAATAATAGAGGAATTAAATCCACCGTCCAATCGGCATCAATCGGATAAGACGCGTGAAACGTCGAAGTAATTCCTGGGCGTGGTCGCGACTTACCGAAGCGAGGGGTCGTGATGGGGATGGTGACCTGCTGTTCAAGTTGACGAGAAGCGCGTATCGGCCCGCGATCCCGTCCAGGTTCGCTCCCACTCCTCCAGATATTCCCATTCTTAAACGGGCTAATGCCGGTCCCTTCCCTCTCTCTTATACCGTCTTCCTCTGCCCTTTTCTGAGGCTAGGGTTTCCTTCGTTCTCTCTCTCTCTCTCTATCTGCCTCCCTCTCTTCGCCTTTGATGGAAGCTAGCAGCCTCTCTGCCTCGCCCTCCGCCTCCCTTCACCGCTGCTGTATCCGTTCGTGTTCTTGTTGTTGCTGCCGCTGTTTCTGTTGCTACCATCTGTAGAGTTTGGAATCGTTGTTTGATTCCAGTCTTTGATTTGAAATGGATCACACTCATCACCAGTCGAACCTGTCCCTGGGGTTCCACGCCGTTCCTCTACCTCCGCTGACGTCTCGTGCCCCCATCGCGGACGACTCGATCTCGCTCCAGATCGATCCGGGCCTTCGGGACCCGTCCCACAACCCTCGGCCGATCCCTCTGCAGTTTTTCGACCAACAGCCGGACAGCGCCCGCGATGGATCCGTGGGGGCGAACGATGGCGAGGAGTCCGATGAGGAGGATCAGAAGGAGGAAGAAGTCAGGATTTTAGGGTACTCGATGTGCATCAAGAGGCAGAGGAGAGGGGATTCGTCCTCCTCTTGCTCGTCGTCATCCATGCTACTCTCGAAGAGGGCCAGGGTCGAGCCTGATCTCGAGACGCGGAGGGACGCTGTCCGGTCCTGGGGAAACCAGCCCTTATCTGCAGCCGACCCTGAGATCTTTGAGATCATGGACAAGGAGAAGCAGCGGCAGGTACTGGGAATCGAGCTCATCGCTTCGGAGAACTTTGTGTGCCGTGGCGTGCTCGATGCCCTCGGTAGCCATTTGACAAACAAGTATTCTGAGGGATATCCGGGTGCCCGGTACTATGGTGGGAACCAGTACATTGACCAGATCGAGCGGCTATGCCATGACCGTGCCCTTGCAGCGTTTGGTCTCGATCCTGAGTGCTGGGGTGTGAACGTTCAGCCTTACTCGTGCACCTCAGCCAATTTCGCGGTGTACACAGGCTTATTGCTCCCAAAGGATCGAATCATGGGGCTGGATTCACCTTCAGGCGGGCATGTTAGTCATGGGTATTACACGCCCAGCGGAAAGAAAATATCTGCAGCTTCCATTTTCTTTGAGAGCTTATCATATAAAGTGAATCCGCTCACAGGTTACATCGACTATGATAAGCTTGAGGAAAAGGCGATGGATTATCGACCAAAGATACTGATCTGTGGTGGGAGCACGTATCCACGAGAGTGGGATTATGCTCGCGTTAGGCAGATTGCAGATAAGTGTGGAGCAGTGTTGATGTGTGATATGGCTCACATTAGCGGGCTTGTGGCTGCCAAGGTTCAATTCCCTTCTCCTTTTTTTGTTAAAGATTTTTCTTACCTTTTAGTCTGTTACCTCAGTGTGAATATGAACTACCCATCATTTGTCTCTATTGTGACTACGTGAGGACACTGTTATCCTTCTATCTAGTTGCAGTAAAGAAGAATGCCACTTGAAAAAATTATATGTATTTAAGACAGACCAATGAAAACGAGTTGACTCTTTTTCGTCTCTTGTTAATAGTGTAGGTTTACTTTTATGCCTTTTGTTCTATAAAAGCTGTACTGACATGGATATTCATTGTTGGCATTGATGTTTCTCGTTCCTTTAGCTAAATCAGTAATCTAATTGATTTAAGCCATAACAATATATTAAAAAATTTCATCAATACTCTTAAATGAGTTAACTATGAGCTAGTCATGCTGGAACGCTGTATGGTTGCAATAAAAAAATGATAATTTTTTTGTTACTCAAACTTAAGTGATCGAAGGCGGTTCTTCTTTTGAAGTTCACACGGTAAGAGAGTGGCTACCAACACTCCCTCCTGATTCTGACCACCTGACTTTATTGTCTGATTTTGTGCTAGTGAATTATGTTCCGTAGAACTGTTTATGGAATTCTTGGTAGCTATGCAATGCAACTTCTCTCTTTAGTTTCCATTGATGAATAAATGGACTTTCCTCACTACCAGTTTAACCATTTGCAGGAATCCCTGAGCCCCTTTGATTATTGTGATATTGTTACTTCAACAACTCACAAAAGCCTTCGAGGACCTAGGGGTGGTATAATTTTCTTCAGGAAAGGGAAGAAACAGAAAAGGCAGGGGTTTTGCCTTGGTCAAACAGATGAAAATGATAGATATGATTTCGAGGAGAGGATAAACTTTGCTGTTTTCCCATCACTTCAAGGCGGTCCTCATGATAACCATATAGCTGCTTTAGCAATAGCTCTAAAGCAGGTGGCTACACCTGAATACAAAGCATACATTCAACAGGTCAAGAGAAATGCTCAAGCATTGGCATCAGCTTTACTGAGAAGAAATTGCAGACTGGTCACTGGGGGCACAGACAACCATTTGTTACTTTGGGATCTCAGAACCTTCGGTTTAACAGGTACTCATGAAGATCAATATTCTTAAAATTATCAAGCACGAAAAATGTTTCTTAGATATGCCAGTCTTTGCAAAAAAAGAAAAGGTCCATGGAACTAAGAAATGATTTATGGGAACAGCCTTTAACTTCTCAAATTGCACAACAAAGAACAGAGTTGTTTCTTTAAATTTGCAAGGAATTTACTTTTACCTGTATGTGCTTTTTCTGTTATTTTGCATGTGCTCTGTATCTTCAGCTTTTTCCTCTGGGCTGTAGGTTATTACATCGTCCTTGTCTATTAAATTACAACTACTGTTATTTTACTAAAGCTACGATGAATTTTAACAAATAAACATAACTTGAATCAATGGGATGGGAAATCTTTGAGGCTTGACTCTTTTTTTTTTGTGCTGTCCACTGATTTAGCAGTTTAGCTTCTCTTGTGATCTTAGGTCTACTAGTACAATTGTGTGTGTGTGTGTGTGTGTTGATTGAAGGTTGTAAGAACATTAGTTCTTAAAAAGGAAATAAGTGACTTGTATACTACAGATTTGCTGGTGGCATCCAATTTAGCATCGTCATCTGTTTTCAAAATATGAATCTTGCTGTTGCCTTTTATGATGGAAATGCCATGATGATAATATAGGTTTTCTCCAACATGTGCTGCCCTTTGTTATTGTCATGTAGCTCTTTTAAACTCTTATTGAACTATTCTTTCACTAATGTGTTTTAACATGCAAATATATCTGGTTGGGTTTGCTTATGAAATACAATCACTTTCATTGAACCTTATTTGAACCTTATTGTTATTGGCCACGATTACTAGTTTACATTTGTTGAAACATGGTGTCAACTGCAAGTATTAATGGTGACGGACTGATATGTGGCCTTTTGTATTGGAAGTAGCATCTTGTTATTGGTATTTGGTGCACATGATACTTGTTTGAGAGGATATGTATGCAACAAACATGATATAGTCAAACCTTGAGAATAAATTTTCACTAAGGATAACATGATTAGACAAATCACATCTGAAACTGTTATTTTTTTGGAGGGAAATTGAAATAAAAGGGTTTTGAGATTGCAGAGCTTTAGGCTGGATGAAATGCAATTTGTAGAAAACCATGGGGGATCACAAGTGAACTTTTTTAAATTCTTGATAGCAATAATGGAGCTTAGTTCATTATTGTGTCCTCTATAAGTACAACAAGAGTCAGATCCAACAAGTATGTTGATGTAAGAAAAATGCTTTAGATATTTACTAAACTTGGCATATGTATTCTTGGCTTTCTTGAAAATGCAAAAAAGAGTAATTGGAATGTAAAATTTAAGGAACTGAGGGACAAAAATGTAGAAAGTGAAATACAGTGTCAAGATAATTTGGTTGCTGACATCTTTCTGCTTTTTAAAGAAATAAACATGAATTTGTACACTAATTATAAAATTTATAAATTTAGCAATCAAAACTAATATGTCGTTCAAAGTTTAAATTATAATTTGAGTTATGATGCTTTGCTTGTGGTTGATCATATAGTTTAAATTATAATTGGACTTATGACTTTAAATTATAGTTTAAATTATAATTATAGTTTAAATTATACTTATAGTTTAAATTACATCTATGTCTAGCTTAGTGTTGCTCTTTCACTTAGTAATCCAGTGTCTTTTCCCTGTATATTAAGTTCCTTTAGTGTTTAGGAGAAATTTACAGGATTAGTCATTGCAGGTGTATGAGTTTAAACTACATAAACTATAATCAGGAAAATCCCACTGATCTTTGAAACATTAACTATATGTCATAGGTAGCCACTTTTTCAATCAAATCAGTTTTGTTAGGTGATTGGTCACCAATTTAGAGAGCTAATATCAGACATTTTTGGAGATTTTATGAATGATATATGGATTATTAGCTTCGGTTGGACTTTTGGTTAAGAATTACCCAAGTACTTGGTTTTGGCACCCGTTTTTCAAGATATAGCTTCAAAATTAGTTATCAAAACTTGGTAATATTTATGAAACATAGACCATTCTTCCGTGGTCAGTTATACTCGGTATTCTGATTTTGTTGTAATGTTGATATTCTCTTTAGCAACAAATTTCATTATAACTATGATCTTTGGTGTATCAACGCAGATACAGGACACTGTTTCAATATAACATGGATATATTTAAACTCCAAAACTTGAAAAATCAGATGCATTGTAGAATGGATACACAAATGAAGGAAACAATTAATAACTTAAGATGTATATAAATATATAATACTACAGGATAAAGTTTGACACCAATGGTGTTAGAATGATTTATAATAGATTTATAAGTAATATGCAAGCATCCTATAATTCATCTTTTAAGATATTATTTTCAGAACGTAGCATATGAAGAATATAGATGAGATAGAAAGAACTTTGATAACTAAAGTGAAGTTACTCTAATTCATTAATCATACATTCTCAACAAAGACAGCATATGAATAATCTTTTTATCATTTTTATTTAGGAATATATTTAAATAAAATAAAGTTCTTCAAAGAAGTATCCAAGAACTATCCTGAAAGTTCCCAATCTTTTTTATAATTATTTAAAATTTTGGATACTTCGAGGAAGCATTAGATATGTATCTGGTATCTTATATGTGATTCAATATAGGTCAAGCAATTCAATATGCTTGTAAATAATAAATCTCCATAAAATTATTTGAATTTTTCTTGTAAAAAATATTGATGGCAAATGAGATGAGATGCTTCTCATGTCTGCTAACTAATTAAAGGAAGTAGAATTTCTTTCCTACAAAACAGGACCCTTCATTTCTGTATATTCATTGCATGTCAATGAATACAAGATTAACCACCTTCCAAAAGTATATGATTTATGTTAAAATAGGCAACTTATCAAGAGCCACTTATGGAGAACATTTCTTTTATCAACTTAGCTGTGCTTAATCAATGCAACTTGTGTGCAGGTTATAATTATAATCTTTAGAGATTTTCTTATTATAGACATGACTCTTTACTGATGGTAATCCTGAAACAGGTAAGAACTTCGAAAAGGTCTGTGAGGCATGCCACATTTCTCTGAACAAAACCCCAATTTTTGGTGACAATGGTGCCATCTCTCCAGGGGGTGTGAGAATAGGTGACCTCTCTCATGCCCATATATATTTTCAATATCAAACATGCAGGTTCTGTATGTTGGAAGGATTTTAAGCAACTTGTACGGGTTTTGCATGTGTAGGAACTCCTGCTATGACAACCAGAGGTTGTTTAGAGGGAGATTTTGAAATGATTGCTGAGTTTCTTCTAAGGGCCGCACAAATAGCAAGTACCATACAGAAGGAACATGGGAAGATACAAAAGGAGTTTCTGAAGGGCCTCGAGAGCAGTAGGGATGTTGCTGAGCTTCGCAATCGTGTGGAGTCCTTTGCTTCACAGTATGCAATGCCAGGATATGATGTTTAAGGCGGACTTCCAGAGATCTTGCTATTCTCCATAACATGGTAACTGTCTTAAATACATGTTATACTGCAAAAACATGGTGACAGTCTTTAATTGCTTTCCATTGTTTGCTTACCTTACTGTACAAAACGAAAGTACCATTTTGAGTTGATTTGGACATAGATGCATATTGTTTTGTAAAAGTCAGAACCTTGCCATATTACCCACCCTTTTTGTTTCTGGTCCTATAATTGGAACGTTCATGCTATTTGTACATCAAATACTCGACTTGAGAGCAGCTAGCTTATGAGCTCTAATATCCTTATATATATATAGTTGTAAGCTAATTGAGAGAAACACTGATTCGTTTGTCATTTTGTTGTTATCCATGGGCTTTATTTGTTTTGGAGTTCAAAGTTGTGATAAGTGAGGCTAGGGATTGCTATAGTAAATTTGTGTCGCTCCGAATCAAGATGGGCAAAGCAAATATATGCTCACTCTTTGATGTTGCGATGAGATACGAGCCTTTCGTAAATTTATGGAATCGGAATGTGACACGTTGCTCCTCTATCATTCCACATTTCTAGTCTCAAGGGCAAATCACAAGGGATTTTCCTTCAGTGGATTCGTGGAGATTGCCCTCCTCTACTCCATACCGATTAAAGTTGTTCGGATGCAGTACTTGCCGATTATGACAAACTGTGGTCGGACGGCGCACGAACACTTATCTAAGGAAATCAAGCGTCGAAATAAATATCGTTTCATCGGATATTAAGATTTATTGACAATGAATACAACAAGCGCCCGTGGCCTAATGGATAAGGCGTCTGACTTCTAATCAGGCGATTGTGGGTTCGAGTCCCACCGGGCGTGCTTTTTTTATTATTTCTCCGTTTCGTTTTTTCACAACAATCATCTTTATTTTATTTTATTTTTCTAAATCATATTTCTTATTGTGGGTTAGAAGAGTCCCCCATCTGTTTTCTTTCCTGAAAACATGACTAATAAAATGAGAAATACAAATTCAACGTAAAAAAACAAAAAAAAAAAATTCCAGCGAAACTTGCTGCCTAAGTTTGCCACTGTAACTGTGACATGGATTCATTCCAAATGCTCTCTGTCTCTCTCTCTCTCTCTCACTGAAAAGTCAACAAATACACTCCTCTTTAGCTCCCAAAATTCCACAGCTTCAGCATGGAATTAATGCTGGTTTCTGAAATGGCTGCATCAACTTGACGAGTAAACCAAGGCACTGCCTTTTGATTCCCTTCAATCGCACGGAGTTTAATCACAATAATGAGGCGTATAGAGCCTTTCCCACGGCCCTATCATTAATTATCACCATTATTCATTGTCTTATCTTCTTATTGTTTCATCATCGTCATCCTCTTTTCCGAGTTTATCAGCTCATCTCCCTCCTCCCATGTAAATTTCTCATGAAATATTTTTGTCCCCATGCCTTTCCCCCGAAACTGTCGCCGCTCACTCACTCACTCACTCACCAATCTATGGGGCCCAAGAAGCGGTCCCGACTTGATAGGGACGTTGGTGTCAATGGTTTGGGGTAATAATGGGTTAGATTGGTGGATAAATAAGGCCCCAAAGCTGTAGCTGAGACGTCGCCAGTCCATCTCACCCGCTCTCCGTCTTCCTTCTTCCGCTTCCGAGCCGGCGGGGAAGGACGAGCCCTGCGACCGGGCGCCGGATACAGATCGCCGTCGACGGCTCCTTTGAGGATAAGAGCTCCGCCTCCGCTTGCTTCTTCGATCTCAATCGGAGGAGGATGGGAACTTGGGAGGCCGTCAGAAGAGGGCGGCTCTTAATCGCCTTGTTGGTCGCCGCCGCGGCGATCCCGCCCGCCTCCTCCGCGGCTGCCACCACTCTTCCGAAGAAAGCGAAGGCGTCGAGCCCTCCGGAGCTGTTGTCGGAGCTTCCGGTCCACGCTGGTCGCCTGGTCCCGTCCTCCGTTGTCTTCCCCATCTACGGCGACGTCTACCCCCACGGGTGCGCATCGAGATTTGGGCTTTGGTCGATTTATGGTCTCTAATATTTGAATCTTGATCGAATTCGCAGGCTTTACTATGTAGTGATGAACATTGGCGATCCGTCGAAGCCCTACTTCTTGGACGTCGACACCGGCAGCGACCTCACCTGGCTCCAGTGCGACGCCCCCTGCGTCAGCTGCTCCAAGGTCGGATCTCATCCTCATCCCCTTCCATTCCAATTGAAATTTCAACATAATTCCAAGTATTATCTCAAGATTCAAGTAAAAGTTGCACCTTTCCTTTGGATTTGGTGACTTCAGGGGCCTCACCCGTGGTACCGGCCGAAGAAGAGCAAGCTGGTGCCCAGTGGAGACCCCCTCTGCGCCGCCCTTCACTCGGGCATCGCCCAGGGCGAGAACAGCGGTCAATGCGACTACGAGATCCAGTATGAAGACCGCGGCTCCTCCCTCGGCGTCCTACTCTACGACGCCTTCTCTCTCCGCCTCACCAACAGCACCCGCGCCAGCCCCATCCTCGCCGTTGGGTCAGCATCCGATCTCCAGCACTTCACCTTCTCCAAAAATTCCATCTTTGCGACCCATATACAATGCAGTTGGTACGTGCAGGTGTGGGTACGATCAGCAGTCCGCGGTCCAGGACGCCTCTGCGCCGACCGACGGTGTTCTCGGGCTTGGCACTGGGAAGGTTAGCGTTCTATCGCAGCTGAGCAATCAAGGGGTGACCAAGAACGTCGTCGGCCACTGCCTCAGCGGGAAGGGAGGAGGCTATCTTTTCTTTGGAGACGATTTGGTCCCCAGCTCTCGAATGACTTGGGCGCCCATGTCTCGTATTGGATTCCGGTGAGGTGGCTTTTGCTGCGATTCTGATCGAGTTCGCGGTGAGAATCCTGATGACTTTGAATTGCATCAGGAACTACTACTCGCCTGGGCCAGCAAAACTCTACTGGGGGACACAGTCTCTGGGAGCGAAGCAAATAGAAGTGGTTCTCGATACCGGGAGCACCTTCACTTACTTTGAGTCTCATCCCTACCAAGCATTCCTCTCAGCTGTAAGTATGAGCTCGCTCGCTGTTTGGATTCAGTTGTTCTGGAATTTGTTCAAAGCAGGGGATTTGATGTATGGGAGCTTGAGACATTGCAGGTGAAGAGTGATCTGTCGAAGACACCGCTGATTGAGGAGTTCGATGATTCGGCCCTTCCGGTGTGCTGGAAGGGGCAGAAGCCATTCAAGTCTGTGAGTGATGTCAAGAAGTACTTCAAGACCTTAGCTCTCGACTTTGTGAAAGGAAAGAGAGCATTGCTTGAACTATCTCCAGAAAACTACCTCATCATCACAGTAAGCATTTACAACATCTCTCTCTCTCTCTCGTTGTCAATCTTACTGAACAAAAGAAAAGAAAACTAAGGATCTTTGATTGCAGAAACATGGCAATGCATGCTTGGGAATTCTCAATGGCAGTGAAGCTGGACTCAGAAACCTCAATGTAATTGGAGGTAAACGGCCCGAAGAGACTGATTAGGAAAAGCTCCTCGTTGTTTTTGTTGTTGATCAAACTTTGGTTGGATTGTTGGGTGTTTTCAGACATATCTCTGCAAGACCACATGGTTGTCTATGACAATGAGAAGCAGCACATTGGATGGGTTCGTGCGGCATGCAATAGGCTCCCCAAGTCTGGAACTTCCTCTCTCTGATGATTTACTACTTCCTTTTACGTGGGTGTGCATGCAAAGGGGTGGGCGGGGGTTCTCATACTGCAACTCTTTTCTGTGTCTTCAAACAGTGCTGATGACCATGGCCTCGAGGATGGTGATCTGTCTCAATATGCCAGCATGGGTGTCCTAAAATGAGAAAGGCCTTCATACTACCACTGGAAAACAGTAAACAGTGTGATTTCTGATACAAGTAATGCCCCCCCTCAGATATGTATGACTCTTTTTGTTGCAGCTCAGATATGTATGATGATAGGGGGTTGTATTTTCCTATTTCTTTGGATGTAATCATAGTAAGACAAAATAAAAGTCATATACAGCAGCACTGGGACAGTTCATGGATCAAAATCACATCTCTCTTTGGATCATCTACTTTGAATGCACAAACAGAGTGTGTTTGTAGCCTTTAAGCATCTTCTCATGATTCTTTTTGGATCAGCTCTCTTCTGTGCAGGTGGAAAGTACAGCTGCTGCTGAAACAGCATGTTTAGTGTAAATTTGGACTTTAATCTGAATTGAGTTCGTTAATGAGTCCAACACTCATACATGGGAGTGGATTACGGGTTCGTAATGGGATCCGATTTGGTCTGGTTAGACCAAACATGACTCGAGATTTAGATTCACTTATGGTTGCCCATTTTAATGTGATCGGATCGGTTATTCTTGAGTTCGGATCGGATCCGGATTTGGTTAGATCCGTTCTGGATGGCGGTCTTTTAAGCGTTCGCTCTCCCCCCCCGCCCTCTTAATTGCCCCCAAATCTCCTCCGCTTCCCACTCCCTCTCGATTCCAAAACCCTCGCTGGCCTCTTCTACAGATGGATCGATCGATCATGCGATGAAGAAGGAAGAGGTACGGCAAGGCCTATCCCGCCAGAGAGAAGTAGGCGTGCTACTCTACCCTCGTACAATCCTCTATATCTTGTGAATGATCTATTGTTCGTTCTCACCGTGATGCTTCTCGCGTTGAAGTGCGTGTTCAGGGTGATCTGCGAGGCTGCAGATCGAGATCCAGCACTGTCGGAGCCAACCGAACGTCTTCCGTTTCTTGGCTTGGTTCCATGATGAGACCGGCGTCTACTTGGACCTCGAGTTCGCGGTTCAGGTGAGCTTTTCAAGCCTGTGATTCTTGGCTTGGCTTGACGCCCATAATCATGTTATCCATAGGGACATCAAGCAGCCTGTGAACCTGCTGCTGGATATTGAGGGATTCCTAATTACTTGATCTTAGTCGTGATGCTCCCATCTTTTTGCCCATGATCACAGTTGTAGCATATTTGTGCGATCAACCATGCTTCTGATGTAGTTCATCTTGTCAATTATCATCATGAGGGATTCAATGGTGGCAAAAAATGTTATAACATCATTTTCTATGGCAAAAACCTGTGTTAATATCTTTCACTTGTCATAAAGTGTTTTAGAACTTTTCAACCTCATTTTAATAATTTGAAGTGTGTTTGTTTTGTTGAAACTCGAAAGTGAAGACCTACGAGTGGAGTTTGATGGGAAATGATCCCTTCCTTGTTCCAAAATGTTGCTGAACTCAAGAACATGAGTTCTCAAAGTCTTGGTACTTGACTTTGGCTGGACTGGCCCTTAGATGGCGTTATCTATATGATGACTCTGGTTTCAACATAATCGACTTGAATTATGATTTGATTTTGTTTTTTTGATGACTCTCTAAACATGTCTTATGTACAAGTTATGTTTTCCCCAAGGTCTTAATAAGCATCATTCCATTTCAGATAACAAACCCTCTTATCCATCAACTTAATGTAGTTAACACTGCTAGTTACAGTGGAAGTGGCATGCACATGTTCATACAGCTCATAAAACCAAAAGTAGTACACTGGGTTGAGGAAAAGTCCAAAATCTGTACAATTCAGAGAAAAAGAAATCCAGAATTCATGTAATCCTGGTTTGACAGGAAAGCTGAAGCCAAAGCTCCAATAAATTTTTGAAGGTTTTTTTGGATTGTGTGAATTCCAAAATTCTTCATCACCCAGGCTACCAAAGAAACCCAACAGCCCACCAACCAACACAGTGGCAGTCAGGAATTCAGTAGGTCTCTGTAGCTACCAAATCCATCCAAGAAACCTATACTTGGCATAAAGTATTGCCACTTTTATAAAGCATCAATTTTTTTTTGGTTTTATTGCCATCAACTAAATGAAGTTTGTTCATGTAGCAGCGAGAATTTAGGGCATTCACTCTATTCTGTACATGTAATGAAATCCATATTTAGATCAATGACATGTCTGATTTTCTACTTTGCTGAGATGACTTAAAATAGCAGATTTTGGATGGGCTGTGCAGTCAAATGCTAAGAGACACTGTGTGGTATTGTTGATTGTCTAGCACCAGAAATGGTAGAGAAGAAGGAACATGATTATGCAGTTGATAATTGGACTTTAGGCATTATTTGCTATGAGTTCCTTTTTGGTGTTCCACCATATAAGGCTGAATACTAGTATGGCACATTTATATTTAATTCCGCCATACTGCTCCTTGTGTTTGCTTCATTATTATGCTGAGTAGATTTTTCTGATCCAGGATCATGAAAGTTGACATAGCGTTCCCTTCCACTCTCTGTCTGATGAAGCTAGTGATGTTATCGGCAACGTAAGTTTGAACCTCCAAAAAAGCATTCTTTAAAGTAAGTTTAGTCAGTGATTTGGAGTTCTGATGTTTGATATCAAATGGTAGCTTCTTGTAAAACAGTAAGATTCATCAAGGTTACTTTCACTTCATTAGATTTTTTATGCTTCCATGGATTTACAAGAATGATGATCCTTCTTGCATTTGTTGTAAAAGAGTTTTTTAGGAAGGCATATGCTAAAAGAACACTTAAATGTGGTGGTCTCCATTTTCCCCTTGGTTTCTTGATGCAGTGGACATTCCCTCAGACACTTTTTATGACAATCTCTGCTGTAAGGCTAATAATTGGTTTGTGCTAATATAGAAAGATTTTTTGGTTTGATCGCCTGGCGAGATCTTTTTTATGATGGCCTATTTGAAATGATACCTATGTAATGGTGTGATGTCACAAAAGGGGATCATTACTCTTTGCATAGTATCAATAACTTGCAAGTTACAACTTCTAAGAAGGAATACGAAACATGTTAAATTGTTTCAGGGTCACAAGTCTGTAGGTATCTCTATTTGTCTGGAACTTATGATTTATCTCTTTTTTTATACTTCCAAGAATGTTATGGTTGAAGTTTTTGATCATCAGGACATTTTGGCAGAATATGGGGTTGGCAAATAACATAGCACATGCCTACATCTGCTGGTAATACATTAAAAATTTTTGCATCATATTTGGAAGTCACATCGTTCTTCCCGTCCAAAGTAAATCAATCCGTGCAGGCAATGGTTTGGTCGGGTGGAACAGCAAGGAGATGCAGTAAGCTTCATCCGAGTAGTTAAAGCAGCACAACTCCTCGAGGATGCTGAGGTAAAGTGCCAATGAATCATTTTTATATTTGCATGTAGGCCTTCATACTGTTTAAAATATTTTATATTTTTACTAGTGCCCCCATATGAGGAGCTACTTCTTATTAAAATAAAATATGAACAATTGGCATATTTTAAGGTAAGCAAAATTGCACTAAAATTATTGTAAGAAGACAGCAAACAATGGTTTATGCCTGGCTCACTTTTATACTATTTAATTCTTGGCTTGTTGTAGGACTTTAAGCGTTTATAGTGAAAAAGACATGTTAGTAATCTGCTTTTTTGAAACACCTAGATATCAATATATTACATCCCAATGAATGAGCACTTGCATTAATCTGAAGTCTAGAACTGGAGTCATCATCATCCATCCACTGAACAGTCATCAGCAACAGTTTGTCGATTCAAGTTGGATTCATTGTGATCATACACCCCACCCAATCGTGTTTGCCGGGTTATTGCTGGTGTCGTTCTGCAGGTCCGCAGTAACCAGCAATAGCGGGCAAAAGTTATCGAACGTTCATTTACAGTCATTTGCTAAATCTCCCAAAAGGGCCTTTGCAGGTGAACGAGGAGATCAGGGAAGGGGTCGTGGAAGAAGGCCGGCGAGACGGCCGGCAGCCCACCAACTCCTGTGGCGTCCTCCTCGTCGATGAGCCCGACGCCGAGCTCCATGTCCCAGTCGTCGTAGTCGTGGGCGTGGCTCTCGACCTCCCGCTCGCAGGCGAACTCCGACGACGACAGCACGTGCTCCGAGTCGGTCGACTCCCCCGTCAGAGGCGGCAGTGACTCGGGCGAGTCGAAGCAGATCATTGCACTCCTCGGCGCCGGCACGTGCGAGACGACACCCTGTTTTGAGTCCGGCTGAGCCGGCCGAGTCTTCTTGGGTCCGGCTGCCCTCCGGCCCGGGTTGGCTTGCTTTCCCACCTCCCCCTTCTTGTGGTAGATCCGGCACAGCACCCAGTCATCAAGCTGCATTACGAAACGCCAGCGAGAAATCGGATCAGGTACATGGCGGTCTGTATATTGCAGCGTACAACCTCATCTAATTGTTGGGCACGTGTAGGACAATGTTGGCGTACCCGGAGGCTGCGGTTCTTGCGGGCGGAGCGATCGACGTCGGCGAGGCGGTACTCGTGCATGATCCAGTTGGTCTTCTCCCCCTTGGGCGGCTTCCCGGAGTAGAACACGAGCGCCTTTTTTATAGCGACCGGGCGAGGCGAACCGACGGGCTTGTCGGCCCCGGTGGCCTTCCAGTATCCCGAGCCGGCGGCCCGGTTCGGCCGCGACCCGTTGGGGTACTTGCGGTCCCGCGGCGAGAAGAAGTACCACTCCTTCTCGCCGTACAGTGCCATGCCTGCCGAGGAGATCATCAAGACTTCAAGATCCATCTGCACCGCGTGATCATGATCGGACGGGGTGAGAAATGGGCGAGAGAGGGGGAGGACAGGCATGTGTACCTGGGAGCTGCCAGGGGTCGTACTTGTACAGGTCGACATCGGCGATGATGGGAACGGGGACGGGAATCGCCGCGCACCGCCGGCATAGGTAGTGCATCACCAGTTCCTCGTCCGTCGGATGGAAGCGGAACCCGGGGGGCAGGGCCAATTCGCTGCCGTTCATCGTCGCCTCCCTTTCCGTCGTCGTTCTCTTCGCCTCGGCTGTCGTAAGAAGGCGAAGAAGAACGCTTTGGAATTCGGGAGAGTTGAGGGTAGGGAACTTATAGCGTGGAGTGTGGCCTGGATTTACGAAACGTGGCGGAGATCGAGCGGGGAGCACCAGCAGCGTGGACGGGATTGGGGTGCGCGGATTCTGTCACGGCTGACGTAGAAGGTTGCGGGGCCCGCGTTGTCCCTGGGAGGGGGCGAAGGGACGGCGTCAGCCCGAGGACGGCAGCGGGCGAGGCGGAAGATGGGGACGGCGGAGCGACCGGTGGAAGACGCGGCGAGATGGAGGCGGAGTCGGACTCCAATTTAGTACAGGGGGCACTTAATTAGTGTTTACCTGTCAGCGCCGTGGCACCGGGTATTCCAGGTGGATGCGAAACGTACGGTCAAGATGTTATCCGTTATGTCCATTCCTAGATTCCACACTTGAAAAAGGCCACCCGTTTTTGCACCCATCAGGATTCCGGATCTGAGAGTAACGGACGGAGAGTTAAGTTGATAGTAATAAATTGAATTTATACGTGGCAGGCAGCTACAATGATTGGTGTAGGTCAACGATCGGAGGATGGTCTACGGTTCCACGTAGGATTCCCAAGTGGATGTTTTCTATTCTTTGAGCAAGTGCGGTCTCAGGATCTGCATGTGGGTCGCGGATTATTTTTCATGGGTGGATCGTGTGTGAAAGGACACCACCCGGGAAAGTTTCAGGATGGTTCGGTCCACGTAAATCGCGGTCGTGACAAGAGACATGGCCCGCAGCAACATCTTCTGGGCCAATAGTTTTATATTATTCGCGAGGCAGGTAAGGAACAAGGGATTAATACCCAATGTTGATGGGTAATGTTGTCCTTTTAATTGGACGGAGGAAGGTGGGGTCGGTCCTTGGTAGACCGCCGCGGCGAGCAGATTACGTGTAGAAGATGCGGCGGTGGCTTCCAATTTGATCTTTTCGTTATTTAACACAAAAAAACGAAAGAACAACCAGTGCTGCAGTCGTCGTTAACATCAGCATTGGGATCACCACATCTTGGTTTGCAGTAGTTTAATTACGCGGAGTCAGATAGCATTCGTTAATTATATATGTCTTCCTTTTCCCTCGCTAGCTCGAAAGGTTGGGGTATGGGGAGACATCACTGTAGGTTGGTCTCTTCACTTCCGGATTCGCTGCTTCACTTCACTGTGGGTTTACATCAGTGAGTCTAGGAGGAGATCCACAAATTCTATCCGTCAGGCTTTGGTAGTATGAGGGCATTCAGTATAGTTTTTACTGTTTCCTCCTTTGTGGAATTTATGTTGTTTATAGCTAAGTCTTCTAAAAAACAACAGGATGAATCTGATGAAATGCATTTTTTTTGCTCTTCACATCCATGATGCATTTAAATAGTAAGGTTAAGAACTCTCATCTTTTCTCTTTGTTATTGTTATCCATTGACCCCATAGTTGGAGCCACTGCAGCTGGTAATGCTGTTGTTTTGAAACCATCAGAGGTTTTTATAAGAGTGATTGAGTGATCTATTCCTGAGAAAACAGCACTTTTTTGGTACAAAAGTTTGATAAAATACTCTATCCATGTCTTTACTTGCTACCTAAAAGTGTTTCTTCTGTTCAATATTTTTCTTTTCTAATATGTACTGCCTTGGTGTTCTTTATACGTGACATGCTCCACTTATATAAGATTTTTTGATATAGCTATTTCTTCCATTTAAACAATGTGCAGTGGCCGATGGTTCTGTGCACTTAAACCCGTGACATTGAACGATAACAGAACTACTATGTAAACTTTACAGGCAATGCGAGAGTAGGCCATATATCCTGATGACTGCAGCTGCAAAGCATCCAACACAAGCAATTCTGGAGGTTGGAGTAAAGTCTCTTGTTCTTGTTGATTCCAATGTTGATACAAGTGTACTGATCATTCTTAAAGGTGAAACATTGAATTCTCCTTGTTGGATAGTAGTGTTCGTTCTTTACTTGCGAAACTAATTTGTCTTTGTTTCTCAGATTGCAGCACGCAAACAGAAGGGATGTGACATTGGACGAGCTTGTATTTCACCGGATTATATTATTACAACAACATTATTTGCTCCAAAATTGCTAAGTGGGTAGCCATTTCATCCTGCTTATCTATTGCTCGATTAGTGACCATGATAATTGCAGGTGGATGCTCTAAGATCAACTTTAGAGAAATTATACAGGAAGAATGCGTCGGAATCAGCAGATCTATCTCGCACTGTGAACTCCAACCATTTCTCGAGCTCGATGAGTCTTTTGGATGGTGAAAAGGTTTCTGGCACGATTGTCTACGCGGGACACCGGAATGAAGATTGCCGGTACGCATCACACGCAATACCATTTTCAATGAGATGGTTCAAGTTATATGTTTGTAACATCATCCCAATGTGATTGCAGAAGAATAGCTCCTCTTATTAGATGTTTCGGATGTTTCACGATAATGAAAGAGGAAAATTTGACCCTCTACTTCCAGTAGGGTTAAATGTGATTATTGTTGGTGTCAACTAACTTTAAGTCGTGGCCTCGGGGCCGACACGACTGGGTTCAAATCCGAATGATTGAGGATCTTCTTGGGACGACCCTTGAGACTGCTGAGGTGGTCGACTGCGGTGGTCCGATCGCGGTTGGACAGCCGCTGTTTTCACCAGGGTGGAACTCCTCGCCTGGACGCGCGGTGGGAGGTGCTCCGTCTTCGCACCTGTACACAGGTCGGGTCGGGAGGCTCGACCCGACCCCTCCGGTCAAGTTAGTGGATAGTCTTAGGAGGTTTTTCTCACCTTTTTCTCCCTCCCTTTTCTTTCTGAGCGCGAGGGTTTTTATAGGGAAGGTTACCGTTGCCTGATGTACTCGCTTGCAGGGAGCAGGATCGTACTCGTAGTAACGTCTGACACCGATGTTGGCGTGGCGTGAAGGACCGGGCTTGCGCAGGACCTGGCGTGCCCCGTTCGTCATCCTGCCTCGGTCAGGCGCGTCAAGTCAAACCGAGGAGTGGATCATTATCTTGGAGGAGCTGATGTCAACGCACGTCCCATCATTATTACCACTATCAATTATACCTCAAGGTTTAGTCCTTTTATGGTAGATTTTAAAACTATGTTCGTATTATTATTCTCATTTATAACCAATTTACAAGTTTTTTTTTTGTTTCTAATAATAGAGAAGATACATGCCCTTTTCTGGAATCACTATTAGTAGAGAGAATAATGTAGACAATATTATCATTGGCATCTTCAAATTCTAGTTCGTTCTCATCACTAAGTAGGTCTCAAATTCAACTACTTAGTCTACTTCTTCAATTTAATTATTTAATTCTTATTTTAAGGCAAGAGTACATTGAGGACAACGAGCGATAATGTGATTTTTATTATAACAATAATGATATTGGATTGAAGATGAAATAGTTTGAATAATTTAGATGATTTATGATTGGACTAAGATTGATGCTACTAATGAGAATTTTGACTTAATAGAACCACTACTTGGGATGGATTGGGAAATAGTTTATTATCAAAAGACTGAGAAATGCTCGACGAATTGGATAAGATTTGATATACTTGTTGATCTCAATGGCTCAGTTAGGAAACTATCCATTGGATGTCATACCTTAATCCATTAACAAATCTTCAAACGTTGATGATTTAGTCCTCTTATGTTTCACATCTAAGTAAAAGTTTCTCAGATCGAGCTAAATACTTTACCACACTAGAATTTAACTATTACCACACTAGAATTTAACTATTTAAAGTTTTATAATTGTTTGACTAGTTGGTTTGTTTTGAAAGTAGGTTGATAAATATTTTTTCTTAAATTTTTGTTTCATGACTTCCCATTGAGTGATGGGTGGCTCTTAATGATGCTTGAAACTATGTTGGACATGTTACCAATATTTCTTAGCGGATCTTACTAGTTTCATTTTCTTCAATATCAATCATTTTATACTACTCAAAGTAGTCTTCCATGCTATTTAATTAGTCAACAAACACATTGGGTTAAACCTACCATTAAAAGCTCAATATCTACTTTGGCTCTTTTAGTTATTTTTCCCGTATTGTCAACAAACAGAACTTGTTCCCTCATTACTCGGGTTTGTGGATTTTTAGTAGTATCTAAGAATTTATCGTTAAGGGAAATTTGATCATTAAGAATTATTAGAGTATAATTATGAATAGGTGCCCTATGATGGACCTAGGATTTATTCAAATTGGAGCTTGGGAGTAGGTAAAATTTTTTGATTTAGAAAGTTATAGATCGTGGAGAATGGATATGTTGCTTGACTATCTCAGTAACCTCCTCATTCTTGAGTTGTTTTTGAAGGTGTTGGAGACCTCCTCATTCTTGAGTTGTTTTTTAAGGTGTTGGAGAGCTCTTGGGACTTGGGTCATTTGATCACATAACTAGTTCAACATTGTGTCATGATTTGCTAAATTAGTCTTAAGGGTATTTCATCTCACTCGGTTGGTTTGGGGATTCATCATGATTGATTTGATTTTTACCTCACCAAGTCATGATTATAATGCTGCCAATAAATTACCCCTTGATAATAAGATTGTTAATTGTTATAATGTATAAGGTAGAAATATAATATTCCAAATGATTCTCATTTTTTTCCTTTTTTTGTTTTTTTATAATTTTTAATGGTTTAAATTTTAGTAGTATTATACTTGTAGTTAAAGGGGAGAGAGAGGATAATAAATAGTAAAAAAAAGAGAAGAAAATGTGGGGCGACGTGGGAGAAGAAAAGCAATGAAAATCATTATCTAATGAGATATATTATTTTTCTTTTTAATAAAAATATTAGTAATTTTTTTAAAAATTTACCCGATACCGAGAGCTATTGGTCCATTAATTTTGTAAGGACATTTGCCCAAAGTCTAACTCTATAGGTAAGGGATTGATGTTGGAGGTGCATGGATTCTTGAGTATTGATTAAAGTTTTTGTTGTTGCGATGTGCTCTAATAATAGCGTGGAAAAGTAAAGAAAAAGAGAGGGAAAGAGAAAGAAAAAGATGTATGAGATGAGAGATTAAAGAGGAGAAAAAGAAAGGAATGAGATTAAATATTAGATATTAGAGGATAGAAAGAGACTAAAGAGAGAAAAGTATTGATGTGTTTGATTCATTCATAAACTCCATTGTTTATAGGGGTTTAAAAGCCTTGGTATAATTAATGAAGATAATGATTCCCAATCCTAATCTACTTGGGAATTAGTATATGTCTTTTAAAAATAAAAAATATGACATGCAAGATACCTAAATAGTAAATAAGTACACTTAATATAAGAGTGCACTTAATAGAAATGGAATCCTTAGAAAGACCAAAAGATTTTTCAATTTCTAGACCAACTAACTAATTGATGACTTTTCATTTTTCAATATAACTTTTATAATTTCTAGGCTAACTAATTGATGATATTTTTTTTGTCTAAAATAAATTTTCCTCGGATCTTTTATAAAGCTTGATGGTTCCAATTCCGGAACCTATGGGTTATGGGCTGAGCCCATTCTGATACCATGATCAAGCTTTTGACCTTAATGATGAATTTTTAGAAATGTACTAGAAATTCACAAACCTAAGTAATAAGCTAATGAGCTCAATTTGCTTACAATCTAAGGGAACTAGCTCGAAGAGTAAAAGTGGATGTGTTAGATTTTGATGATAAGTTTAACCCAAATATATTTGTTGATTGGTTAGATAGCATAAAATGCTGCTTTGAGTGGTAGGGAATGATTGATGTTGAATGTGTATGATTTGCAAAAATGAAACGGGTAGAATCCATTAGGAAATATTGACAATATATCCAACATAGTAAAAAACACCATCCGAGTTCCTCCCATTACTTAATGGGAAGTCGTGAGATAAAAACTTTTAAAAAAATATTTACCAACATACTTTTGAAATCATTTAATTAAACAATTATAAAATCTTGAATTCTAGTACGACACAATTTAAAGAACTTTTACTAAAGTGTTAAATATAAGAGTATCAAATCTGAAGATTTATTAATGGATTAAGGTTTCATATCAAACAAGAAAATTTTCTTAGTTTTCCTAACACCATGTCCGAAAATTTTCGATGAGCCATTGAGATCGAGAAGTTAATCAAGCCTTATTAAATTCATTGAGCATCTTCTTAGTCTTTCGATATATGATCGGGGAATTATTATCTTCGTTAATCGATATTTTTATATAGGCAGAAGAATCATTGTATTCATAGAAAGATTTGCTACAATTTGTTATTAAATGGTTCTCATCACTGTATCCGCTGGGGAAATGCTCATCAATGACAATCTTACAAGTAACTTTTATTGAACTTATGTTCTCTAGATGCATCATACTTCAAGTGATTTTGGTCAACTTATTTACTTGTTTGTTGCACCCAATCATTTAAAACAAATGGACATGCATATCAGATCAAGAACTCCATCCACCATCTGCATAAAGAAAAAAAAAGAAGGAATTGCCAATCCAAATTCATAAAACATCCCTCCCCTCTTAAATTAAAACTAAATTGGCACTATATTTTATATCATTGCTGAATCGTGAGGGGTTCTACGAGGGGGTCGACATCATCATTGCTGTGCTTCTTTCACTAATCGGCTTTGATTACCCAAGTTGACTTGGCTTAAGCATGCCACTTTATGCCTCGTATTCAAACTCCCATGTACACAACAATAATGCTTAACAGGGTTCAACAAGTGCTTTAAATGCCTCTCTCTCTCTCTCTCTCTCTCTCTCTCTCTCTTGACTCTCCTCTTATTGCTTTGCTCGTACTCATCTTTTCCAAAGTAGCATAGCATTACAATAAAATAATACTTGAAGCTCTTCTTGGCATTCCATACGTGCTAATTTATTTGAGATCAGACGTACTGTAACCAAGTAATGCCGGCACAGCTCTCAATAGAGATCGATACTATGCATGTTGAGTCGGCACTCACTCACACATAAAACCCTCCTCTACTGCTCACCACCTGCATCACTGCTTCCCTGTCATCATCACTTTATTCCCTTCATTTAATTTCTTCTTCTGCCCATTCCATTTCATAAAATGCATATACATACTTTAATTATTTTACATGCATATATGACACATCTCCAGTTCCTCTAAATCATGATTACTGGGAGAGAACAATTGGGATTCGATGCCATTAAAAGCTCAGCAGTCCAATGACGCAGCGTCAATAAGTGCAAGCCCCCCGATCGATGCATGCATCGAAGCATCAGGTGGCGTGCGCTCGCTCGTGCGGTAATAGTAGCGAGTTTGGTGTCGGTCAACGCCACCATCAATGGGGGGAGAGATGGATTGGATCGACTCTTCTGAGCTGCTCTCCTTCTTTCATCGCACAACGTGCAGAGCGTACAGAGTCATCAATGCGGCACAGAGAAATGCTCGTCCGCTAATTAATGCACGATGATGGATGTCTTCGGAGCCCCCATCATGTCGACATGGGCAATTGATGGTTCCTCCCGTCCGCCCGCCGTGCGGGTACCCTTCCAGCCACCCGCCCCCATGACGTGGGACCCACTAGCGGAGGTCACGTCAACCTCGGCCATAACTGCTGCCTCCCCGGCATGCCGTTGACGAGGGATCGACCACGCGTAAGCTTCACCCGTACACGATGAAAAGTATACTCTAATTCGGATCCGACCAGAGAATAATACTTCGATTGGGTACAAATAAATATGTTTAGTTTCGATCATTCGAAAAATAAAGTCTGTTTTTGTTTAAGAGTAGTAATTTTAGATTTGATGAGGATAATAATGATAATAAGATTTGGGTTGACATCAGCTGTCGCAGATGACGCATCTGTTAACCTGATAGCACCTGGTCAATACGGATCGGAACGTCGATCGAGGCACATTAACATCCTACTTAGTCTCGGTCCTTCACGCCACGCCAAAGTCGATGTCAGACGTTACCAGGAGTACGATCTTGCTCCCTACAAGCGGACACATCAAGCATCGATAATCTTCACTATAAAAACCCACGCGCTCCGAGGAAAAATGGAGGAGGGAGAGGACAAAAAAAAAATCCCTGCGATTATTCACTAACTTAATCGTCAGAGGGGTCAGGCCGAGCTCTCCCGACCCGACCTGTATGTAGGTGCGAAGACGGAGGCCTCCCACTAAACGCCCAGGTGAAGAGCCCCCACCCGGAGGAAACGGTGACCCCTTCGCGATCGGACCACCACAGTCGTTCTTCTACAATTTCAAGGGTTGTCCCAGAAAGATCCCTCGTCATTTGGATCCGAACCAAGCCACGTCGGTCCCGAGGCACGACTTAAAGTTGTTTACAATAACAAGAATAAGTTAAAACGTGTATACGATTAATAATATAAATGGGTCGGATAAATCATGAAAAAAACCCGACCCGTTATTGTCATCGTGTCGCGCATCAAACGGCGAGTTGGATGGGATTCCGTTGTCGGGCCTCTTTCATGTGAGTCAACTCCTTTGCCCAAAATTTAAGTCAACATGTTTTTATCTTTGAATGAAGGATTCTTTTACGTTATAGCGTTTTCAGTAATATAAAAAATATATATTATAAAAAGTACAAAAGAAAATTATATTTATAATATTTTTATATTACGTTATAGTAATTTATTAGTATTACTGAAAAAAAGAAAAAAATTACGTCATAATATCGCCATGAAAATTCGTTTTTTATTAATCTTATTTAATGGAATTCCACTAAATGAGAATAGACTAAAATGCCACTGTTTGCTCGTATCATGGAATTACTGCCTATAAATCGTCCCCGCACTCGCCGTTACTCTTCTGCGTCTTTTGCTTTATATGATCTCTCCAAGAGCATCGCACTCCGGAGGAGGAAGAGGAGGCGGCTATGGGGAAAGGATTCGACGGCGCGAGGGCGGCGGAGGTGGTGGCGGAGCTGAGGGAGACCTTCCGGTCCGGGAGGACAAGGAGCTTGCGTTGGAGGGCAGCGCAGCTGAAGGCCCTCGCCAGGATGATCGATGAGAACGAGGCGGACATCGCCGCGGCGCTCTACCATGACCTCGCCAAGCCTCCTACGGAGTCTTTCCTTCACGAGGTCCTCGACGCTCCATCCCTTAAATTCTTTTTGCCCTCGGTTTGGTTGCTTTCGTCTCTTCGATGGTCTCGTACTTGCTGTGAGAGGGTAGGTAGCTGCAAGCTTGAGTGCTGGGGACTGATTGTTCGTTCCTATAGCTGAAGCTTGATGAGAACCCATTGGTACTTAACCAATTCGTACCGCGAGAACCTCTGCGCTGCTTTGCTTGCGGTGGAACACCTGGTTGGATGTTTCGCATTGACCACAGAGTCAAAGAGGAACAGCACTCGAAAGTTGGATTTCTATTCGGTGATAGAAATCCGTCCCCTTTGTTATTGAATTTTGTATGACATTTTTATTGAGGTTGAAGATTAATTGAACTGATATAGTTATGTCATGATGTAAAAGGTCATTCTTTAGATGGAGTGTTTTTCCTTGATTTATTCTTGCTGGCACAATTATCTGTAGATAATTATTTTCTTTCCTTGAAGAGCTATCAACTCATATCACCAGAATAATTTTCATTTAGGGGATTGCCACAAAATCCTGTTTTCTTCCCATTTCTTTCGATTCACAGTCTTACATGCTCGATCATCATCCAGTTATCAATGTAGATAGTTAGAATGGCTTCCTCGTATGGTCTTCTTGGCTCTATAGCCATGGAGACAAGTAGGCTACTGTCCCAAAGGTGAGCATCTGTGGTCAACAATTTTATTAATCTACTCTCTTCTTTTTGCTTCTTTACTTAGTTCGGATGAATATTTTCAGTGTCCTTCTTTTAATATCTCTTCCCATCTATCTTTCCTTTTTCCTTCTTAGCTGAACCAAATAAGTTTGTTTGCATATATGACCTTTAGTTTATGTTGCAGATTTCACTGGCAAAGGAAGCATGCCTGTTTGCTCTAAAGAAATTGAAACGCTGGATGAAACCGCGGAAGGTATTAAGACCACAAACTCCATGCACATATATGAAAACATCTGTAATAAGAAACCCTTCAAAATTAACCACTAATGTCAGTATCTGCACCAACCATGCAGGTTCCTACTTCTATTACAACTTTTCCATCATCTGCAAAAATTGTGCCGGAGCCCTTTGGTGTTGTACTTGTCATTTCGGCATGGAACTTTCCATTTTGTAAGTCGAGAATCCATTTAGTGACTATGATCATTTTGAAGCTAGATGTTCTTTAATGAACATGGGAAGTAGTTGTAGGAGTAGAAATCTGTTTGTTACTGTGATTACTTGAAGATACAAAAGTAATTTTAAGACACTATTATCTAGATGCAGATGACCTGTTAAATGCATTACTAGTACAATGAAAGCAACCTGATACAAGTGGAGAACCATCATGCTGAAATTTTAAATCAGTAACTTCATATTTTTGTGGAGTAATATCAAATCTTCATGCATAATCTTTTATGTGTATAGTGTTAAAATGGCCTTGACACCCAGAATTTGTTGTCATCATTTAATGCATTACCAGTCTGAATTCTATTTAATGCGAGCTGCATCACATAATTCTGCTGTAAACTCTTGTGGAAGGATATATATGGTTCTTTCTAATGGGTCCTCTCTATTCCCTGGGAGAGGGAAATTAAAAAAATATAAAAATGAATGGTTTGAAATGATAAATAAGGGCATAATAGGTTTTGACTAATCTACTGGCAGATGCTCATCACATAAATTACTACAAGCTCTGATGATATATTTACTTTGCAGCCACATCATAATTATTTTTTTGTCCTGTGTGAGTGAAGGAGATGACCTGGAGGTGGTATCTACCTGAATCACCTGCTCGTTGCTTGGTATATATCATTGATACAATCTGAAGGGCTCGATCTCATGGCTTTGTTCTCTATGCTGCATTTTAACGATGGGAAGATATTAAAGAAAATGGCTTACATTCTTGCTATTGCATCTATGACATGTTTTCTTCGCGATAGTAGTGACTCTTTTTTTTTGCTTCCTTTGCCAGTGTTATCCATTGATCCAGTAATTGGAGCCATTGCAGCTGGGAATACTGTTGTTCTGAAGCCATCAGAAGTTGCAACAGTCACATCATCATTTCTTGCAAAAAATCTACCACAGTATGTAGATAACTCTTGTATAAGGGTAGTTGAGGGATCTATTCCTGAAGCATCGGCACTTCTGGAGCAAAAGTGGGATAAGATATTCTATACAGGTTTGACTTACTATCCATGGTTCACACCAAAGATGATCACACACAAACGTGCATCGTAGTCTCATTCCTACTCAACATCTTGCTTAGTTTTGCTCCTACATGCATATTTCCTGGTGTTTGCTCTTTGTACGTGCAAAAGGTATTGTAAAAGTATTGTCGGAATCTACAGGCAGTGCAAGAGTAGGCCGTATCGTGATGGCTGCAGCAGTAAAGCATCTGACACCACTAGTCCTGGAACTTGGAGGAAAATGTCCTGTTCTTGTTGATTCAAATGTTGATATAAAAGTAATCAATTTGCAAATGCAGAGGAATATTGGATTCTCTTTGTTGGAAGTGATTATACTTTAATTATGAAGCTAATATAGAATTTTCTTTTAAGGTTGTGGCAAAGAGAATTGTTGTAGGCAAGTGGGGGTGTAATAGTGGACAGGCTTGTATCGCTCCAGACTACATCATTACAACAAAAGCATTTGCTCCAAAATTGGTAGGCTTCTTGAAGTGAAATTTGAGAAGGGCTTACTCTTGCTTCTTGTAGTGTTTTTGATGATAACATTTGCAGGTGGATGCTCTAAAAATAACTTTGGAGAAATTTTACGGGAAGAATCCATTGGGATCAACAGATCTATCTCGTATCGTGAACTCCAGTCATTTCACACGCTTGAAAAATCTTTTGGATGAAGAAAAGGTTTCTGGCACAATTGTCCATGGAGGCCAAGAAGATGAAAAGCATTTGTAAGCATCTAGGAAATATTTTTTTGTAACATTTTTTTTTCTTGTAACATCATCTTAATGTGATTGCAGAAAAATAGCTCCTACGCTCTTATTAGACGTTCCCAGTGATGCATCCATAATGAAGGAGGAAATATTTGGTCCCTTACTACCAATTATAACGGTAAGAAATCATTCTGGATGATTATTTGGAATGTTAACTTCTCAATTGTCTACGATAAGATCAAGATACTTATATTCTTTAACAGACTATTATTACACACACATACTTTACAATATATTAACTTCTTGACTTGCCTAAGATAAGATCATGAGTATTTTTTTTAACAAGGTATTATCATGTGCACATACATATTCGTTATAACATACACTTTCATTACATGCATATGCTTTTTGAATAGACAATATTATCAAATGCAATGCACATACTTTCTAATTCTTTTGAATTCTTCTTTTGATTTACAAAGGTTGATGATTTGGAACAGAGCTTTGATGTTATAAACTCAAAACCGAAGCCTCTTGCAGCTTATCTGTTCACCAAGGACCACAAATTAGAAAAAAAATTCGTGAAGACTGTATCAGCCGGAGGAATGCTCATCAATGATGCGATCTTACAAGTAACTTTTCCTTCTAAAATTGCAGAAGTAACTTCTCTAAGAGTACCTTTTGCAGTTCAAGTTTTGTGCAAGTATTTGTGTGTGAAAACCTAATTCTCAGTACTCAGGTTCCAATAAGTTGCATTCTTTATTTGACCTTACCTAAGTTACATAGGTGTAATATTAGATGTGAAGTTAATTACAGTAACATATTATTAAAAAATTTGTCATTAATAATGTAATAACTGTAACAACCAGACAGATTAGTATTAATACTTTTTTACTTAATGTTTATATTTATAAAATGTAATTTAGATTTTGTCTATAATATTATAAAAATAATCATATATAAATATAGTAAACAAAGTTTAATGTGTATAACATGAGATAGATATATCTTAGCTGAATTTATATGTATAAATTATTGAAAGAATATTGTTTAGCAACATATTTAATGAAAAAATTATAATATTCATTAATGATTAGTGTTGCACTATAATCAAATTAAATAGTAAAATAATAGGAAAACATACTAGCAAAATATTAATGATTAATGGATTTAAGGTATTGGTTTACGGTAGAGTAATTTAAAGTAACTTATCCAAACTACCTTGATTTGACTAAAAACCATATTGATACACCATTTATAATTATAAAACATTTTTCCACATCCAAAAATTGACTTTGGAGCAAGTCAATTTTAGATATTTCAGTACACCATACGGAAAGTCAGAAATGGAAGTAGATCACTTCTGAAGTCACTCTATCTTAGATTCTCACTTTCATCAAATCAATTCAAACCTAAATGAATGCACATTTGTGCATTTGTATCTTTAAATCTTCATTGCAAAATTGAAGCTTTCAAGAGAAATGGTACCTTCATTAGAAAAGTGAAAAATTGAAGTGACAATGTCTTTAACTTCCTGCAGTTTACAAATCCTCATTTGCCATTTGGTGGAGTTGGAGAGAGTGGAATGGGGTCCTACCATGGAAGATTCTCATTTGATGCATTTAGTCACAAAAAAGCTGTACTAAGCCGAGGTTTCTACGGGGAAATTCCTATGAGGTACCCTCCATATACACCACTGAAGCAGAAGGTTTTGAGGGGACTGATCGCCGGTAACATCCTGCCGCTGCTTCATGCTCTTGTTGTGTGGCCTGGGCATCAAAAAGTTTAATTGTCTACATTATGCAATATATCTATGAACTAACTATATACGTCTTTATTAGATTTGATGTAATATATTGTACTTGTGCTCTTATGTAATTTAACTTTCTAAGAACATCAAGCTGACTGAAATTTGTGTGTCTTGATCTTAGCTATACAATATATTCTATGTTCTGGATTAATGTTGGTGTCCTGATTTACTTGTTGGATAAACTAATGGCTTTATAGAAGCCATGAGATGATGTTTGGTCTCTATATCTCTCCATATGCCTTCAAATCAAGCTTTTCTTTCTTTCTGCTTCATGGCATCATATATCTCTCTTTAAAATCGAAACAGGACCATTTGATCTCTGTTAGAATATTATTTATTCACTATGTTGGAGAAGCTTCTTCTTAGTTGATTTGTTGTATATTTAAGCCTTCGGTATCCATAGTTTCTATAGCATTTTTATGGGCAGAATTACTCTCTACATTGGCTCTACTTATTCTTCCAAAACCATAAGAATGGCGTATAGTGAAATCTTCAATAGCTACTGTAAATTAATTATTACTTGAAACTATAATTTAAATTAAAATTCTTTATTATGATGCAAAAACAAAGAACATTTTAGGTGGGTTTTTTTTTTCATTTTATGTATTTTATAACTAAAACAAGCTAATAAATCCACCCCACCATATTTCTAAATAATAACTCCGGTTGGGTCGAGTTGGACTGAACCGGGTTCAACTAGGTCGGTTTCTGGGCCGATGACTCTTGCCCTCTATAAAAGGAGTCCTCTCCTCCTCTTCCCTCGCATTGCATAGCGCAACTCGAGAGAAGACGGCGACGACGACGACGACGGAATGGTGTGGCGGGCCAAAGCAGGAAGAATGAGCGAGGGGCTGATCCTGGAGAGGAGGAGGTAATCGCCTCTCCCGTTGCTCTTCGTTTGCCCTATCCAAGCGTTCATGAATCGTTAGCACATGTTGTCGATCAAATGATTTGGGTGTTGAGTTCCAAGCTTTGGTTTACCTTCGATCCTTCTCCTCGAGGAACTACTATTTTTTATCTTCGAATTTATAGAATGCATCTTTCTTTGATTTCTTGATGGTCGATGCGTGATTTGTCTGGTTTTTAAGTGGGTTTGTACTTTGAGGCGCATATTTAAGTGGGTTTTTAAGTGGGTTTGTACTTTTAGGCGCATCTTTCTTTGATTTCTGTTATGCAGAAAGCACCACAGGCCAGGTCTTCGTCCGAGTCACGTCAGATTGGTCGGATTTGCAACTCATCAATCCATATGCCTGAGCTCGAGTACCGTCCCTTAGCCCACAGGCCTAGTCTTCGTTCGAGTCACACCAGATCAGTCCCTGGCTAATGACTCATCAGTCCATATGCCTGAGCCCGAGCACAGTCCCTCGACCCATAGGCCCAGTTTCCATCCGAGTCGCATCAGATCGGTGCCCAACTTGCGACTCGTCAGTACCATCCTGCTTGAGCCTGAGCATAGTCTCTCGACCCACAGGCCCAGTTTCCATCCGAGTCGTGTTAGATCAGTCCCCGACTTGCGACTTGTCGGTACCATCCTGCTTGAGCCTGAGCACAGTCCCTCGGCCCACAAGCCCAATTTCCATCCGAGTCGCACTAGATCGGTCCCCGACTTGTGACTCGTCAGTATCATCCTGCTTGAGCCTGAGCATAGTCCCTCGGCCCATAGGCCCAGTCTTCATCCGAGTCGTGCTAGATCGGTCCTCGACTTACGACTCGCCATTACATCCTGCTTGGGCCCGGCCTCCCGACAAACGGCTCCAACTCTCTCTAGCATGGAACCTAGCCCGCCCTGTAGCTTCACAACCAACATGCACGACGCTCCGACCATAGCACCCCCCTCGCCCTCTTGCAAGGACTCCACGACGCGTCTCGGTGAGGGGAGAAGTGATAAGGTATATTCTGGTCCCAACCACATCATCATCACATCATCAGCCACGTCACCACCGACGCATACCCTTCCCACGCACCAAGCGTTCCTCGACACGCCCTTCGAGAATCAGTTGGCACGCCAAACCTGCATACGATAGCCATTTGGCGTCGTCCCGCGTGTCCCGAGACGACGATCGTACAAAGGTACCAATGCGCCCGTCGAGGATCAACTGGCACATCAAGCCTGCGTACGACCAACCTCGTGTAGTGGTATAAAAACCCTTGGTCGGCATCCGGTCAGGGGAGAGAGACAAAAAAACAAATACCCCCCACCAAGCACTGACTTGATCGTCGGAGGGGGAGGGTCTTCTGTGCAGGAAAGCAGAGGTCACCAGGCTACCATCGTCATCCCGACCGAGAGACGCCAGTGCACAACTGCCAGCGCCCCGACCTAAGGACGTGACCGACTTCGGCAACCAGCTTATCGGCCGAAGACTCCCGACATCGGCTCGTGAACTAGGCCGTGCTGACTCACCAGCCACGACACATCTGTTCACCAACATTTAGGATGCCTGGTTAACACTTGTTTGTCCAAGAAGGATGCCAAGATCGTGATTCTTCGCAACTATTTATGAAGATTAGGGCGATGATGAGGGTGAGATGTGCTCCTACCCCATTGTTTCTTTGTTTCTATTTATTAAAGCACTATGGTATCCAAACCTTCGATGCTTTGATGTGGCGTATAACACACACGTGGCAAGCAATCGCTTGTTGCCCCTTCCATACGATCAATATCATCACAGTACAACCACCTTGGAAAGCTCGGGGCGATGTCGCGCGGTGTCGATCCGTGCAGGTCGGTCGACGCTCGTACAGAAGCTTAAGTCGGTCGCCCGAGGAGTCGGCCACAGTAAATTGATCCCGTACGACTAACTCATCATCGTAGGTATAAAAGCTAACCCTCCCTAATCAGGAAGGGGGGACATTTCAAACTCTCAACTCTCTCATACATACTATTAACTTGAACTTCGGAGGGGTTGAATCGGGAAATCCCCCTCTTGATCTCGACCTATATGCAGGAGTCCGACGACAAAAAAACATATCACTCGCCAAGAGAGAAGATTGTGCTCGGAGGACGAGGCTCGAACCTGACCCGACCTAACGCTCGCCCTCACCACCCGAGCATCCATGTGGACGACCTTGTATATCGGGCATTGGATCAAGCCGTGCTAACACCTCGGCTATGACATAAAGGTTCACCAACAAATAACGATATCGTGATTTTTTTTTTTCAACGATTTCAGATTAGTACGGTCAGAGAGTTTGGGATGGTCCTGGTTCTTTTCTTGAGTACCAATTTCTTGAAGTACTTTGGTACCGAAAAGCCCGATGGCTTTAGGGCGCTTGGATGCCCGCATGTTATGTCACTGACACCACCTTCGAAAGTCTGATCTCACGAGACTTATTGGGCCTTTCTTCGGATCGTTCTCTTGAGACAAGATCTATGTTACCTTTCATCTATTGTTCCTTGTATTTTATTTTCCGGCCTTGTTTTCTTCCTTCCAGTGTAGATTGTTCACTGCATGGATGATTCAAATCTCTTATTCCAAATCTCGAAGTGCTTGTTCTCTGCATGGATGATTCAAGGCCCAGTAGGCCCTATATTTCTTTCTGGACGATCTGCCTGCATGCATAATATTCGATGTGACGACGGTTCGTAAACAGACCCCATCTGCAAGCATTTAATACAACATTCTATCAGCAAAATTAGTATTTATTTATTTATTTATTTATTTACTACCCATATTAACGCGATTTTTTTACCTTTTTTTCGTATCATTTAAGAGTGGCATTCATTGCAAACTTGCGGTCGTTATTATTATGTCAATCAATGAGAGACCACATGTTCCTGCTTACCTCACTTCGGACCCACAATAAACTAGAGGCTGCATTTAAATGCGACAAATATGGCACAGACAGATGAAAACGACCACTTTATTGTCATCAAGACCGGAGAGGACAGCTCAAACCTTAGTATCTGGATCACCATAGTTTGATATCAATCTGGTCCATGATACGTCACATTATCAATCAAAATCCTATTCGTTCGTGGACTGAAATGGGTTTATGGCATTCACCCAATCAACTTTCTTACCGCAACTAGAGAGGGAGAGGGAGGGGCGGAGGTGTGTAGGAGAGGGACGCCCGTGGACTTGTGGGCGGCCTGGAAAGACCCGTCGGCTCACCATATTAAATGCTGGGCTATGCAGCCAACCAATCACTATGATGATGATGATGGAGGAGAGAGGCGGTGGTACTTCACCCATCCTAGCCATACCCCTGTTTTGAAGAACACGTTGGTGGGAGGAAGGTCAAATCCCGGCACAAAGAGAAATTGTTAGCTTATTTTATCGTATCTTTTCGAGATGTTCTTTTAAGGCGGGAGTGTGAGAACGAGAGGGCGACGTAGAGACAAGGGAGTGCTGATGGCGGAGGAAGGGAGCGGAGCAGACGCCGCCGCGCCGGATCGCGAGGTCCTCCTCATCTCTGCCGGCGCCAGCCACTCCGTTGCGCTGCTCTGTGAGTTAGAAATCTCGTTTCTCGATCTGGATAAAGGGCCGTTCAGAGACTCTGCCTTTGGATCGATCGAATCGCTTGGCTCCACCGAATGCATGTAGTGAGACGCTTCAATTGGCAAAACCCTCTTCTTGATCACTTCTTTGATAGCAGACTATAATCGTTGGCGTAGATGGCAAAACCCTCTTCTTGATTATCTTCTTTTTTCTCAATACTTGAAACTTATGCATATATTACTAAATATTTTTACTCCATTCACTCCGTTGTACCACTGAAATCCCTGAAAGTTCCATGTTTCCGGCAAATGACTGATAAATCTAGCAAGCTTTCATTGTGCATACCAACAATAGGCATTACGGCTTCGGTTGGATAGCCAGTTTGGACAACAAATCAGTTTGCAGTATTCTGGAGTTCCCATGTCTCAGTAATTTGGATGTAAGAGTGGCGGTAATGCTCTCTTAACTGTTTGCTAGCTTCTTGCAGCTGGCAGTGATATCTGCTCCTGGGGAAGGGGTGAAGATGGGCAGTTGGGCCATGGAGATGCTGAAGACAGACTTCTTCCGACGTTACTATGTGCATTGGACAGCCGAAGCATTGTTTCTGTTACTTGTGGAGCTGACCATACAACAGCTTATTCTGAATCAGACGAGCAAGTGTATAGTTGGGGATGGTATGTTTTCTCCCCATCTGGTTATGC